TCAAAATGAGAATCGGGGCTGAAATCTCACATTTGTGAGGGTCACATCCGTGGAACTTAACATAATGTGCAATCTCCTGTCCCCAGGAACAAGAAGCTATCTTGTAAGCAGTTCAGCGACAAGTGACAATACTTTTCTAAGAGCAATAATTAAAGTCAACTTTGGAAACATTGAACCCCCACAAAATTTACCAAAAAAATCCCAAAGGGGATAGGAAGATTTGTCAGTGTGCATTAATTTGGTTACTGCTAATTAAAGAGAAAAAAAAAACAAAAAAAAAACACCAAAGCCCTTGGTGTTAGTGAGACAGGCAGTGAAAATAGTACCAACCAAAGGACACAATGTAACATGATGGAATGAAAGGTAAAGACATAAAAGAAATCAGAATATGCATGACAAGAACAGGGCCAGCCTGGACCACAGACTGAGTCTGTGAGCATGCTCAGTTAATAACACTGCCAAGCGCCCTTGAGTCTCAAGTATGACAGCTTACCAGGAAGAGGATAAAGCCTTGAAGGAAAGGTTGCAACATTTTATTCAAGTGCCACTGAAGTCTCAGTTAAGTAAACACAACTGACATGATGTAGAAAACTTAACAGAATTAAGAGCTTAGAGAAACTGTCTAGTTTATTAGGTTATTTTACAACTAGGTTAAACAGATTTGAAGAAAAGTCACATGCCATTAAAAGACCAACACATTGGCATATGCAAAAGAATTAAGAGCCAAGAACTCAGATTGTACAAAACTACTTTGCCTCCGGACAAGTTCCAGCAGATCATATATTATCACCAAATGCAACCTGTAAATGTCCAGAATCAAAAGCCAGAACACAAGCCAGAGTGCTCCATGCTTATTACCACGGCAAAGCTACACACAGCACTCAAATCTCTCATCCTCACCAGTTTCTATTTAAAAAAAAAAATCACTCTTCACATAAGTATATTTTACAAACCAAAGTGATAATATCAGTTCTTTCCACCTTGCAAGTTAGTTATTCCAACAGGCAATGTTTTATTTAAACAAACAAACAAAAAGGTTAGGGAAGAAAATGCTTCAGTTTCTCTGGTTGGAAAAATTCCAACAAGGACAACTCATTGGTTGTGGGAAATGTTACCTGGCTTCAAGAAAAAGTGGGCCATGAGATGACTCCATGAAGATGGAATCTTCTACAGAGCTGACGGCGTGCACCTGGTGAGTAATACTGCTTTCGTCGTCTGCTAACAGCATGGCACCCCACTCAGCTACCCGGGCTCTTAACCTTTTATACACATGCACAGTTTGCAGTTCACAGCAGAACTCACAAAATAACATCTATCCATTAAACATCCCACATATAAATTCAGTTGCCACCCTATATGATATATCTCATGCTTTCCATATTTAAAATAAACATATTCTATAGCAAATTGCCAAACTTAAAAAAAAAACTACAGGGCTCTTTTAAAACAGTCACACACTGGACAAGGAGACCTAAAACTATGGCATATGTTCTCTATGAACCCCTTTGAGGCTGGTCGTGGGACATCTTGCACACTCAAAGTCCTGCGAGACAAACACCACAAGCCAGCTCCTAACAACATGTGGTAGCCATACATTTTCATTTGAAATGAGATTAACAACTACTGGTCATGAAATTTCTAGATGCTAATTATTAACTTCAGACTGTCAAAAACTCCACATATACACCTATGGAAAACCAAAACTGCACGGGCCTGTGGTGAGAGTTAACAGTACAACTGCAAGTCAAAGTGAGAGCCTGGGCTGACAGAGCATCAGAGCTTCTGCCTCAGCTCTAGTCTCCCTGTGAGTTTCACGCAGCTTGATGAAGGGTTCAGTTTTGTTTTGTCAATTTTACATTTGTTCTTTAACTTACGGGGAGAAAGGAATTAGGATTAAGGCTAGCCATGATCACGTGAAAATCACTCAAAACAATTTCTCATAAGTATTCTTTAACTATGGAAGTTCCACATAGCTCACTCCGTTGTATTGTAAGAATTACTGTTCATGAAATAATATATTCTGACTTTATTGCTTAGTTTTCTTTGGCATTTCAAGGCAGTAATTATTATTTTCCCCAAGCAATAGCATAGCTTCAACAGATAAAATACAACTACCTATTAACATAAAAGAAACAATAAAAATACATACATGCTCAACATTTTGCTAGTTTAAAACTCAAGGCAACTACTAACTCATAAAATATCTTTGAATGGCTATATCAATGTTACAGTAGTTATTTAAGACACTTTCAGACATGAAAAGCTACTTAGAAAATTATTTTATGTCTTTACCATGTGCATTTAAAAACTGCACGACCAGGCTCTATTATAAGACAGGAAAGTATTTATAATGGATGGCACCCTTGCCATTGCTTAGCTCACTGACACCACCTGAACAGAGAACAGTGTGATCTGATTTGTGTTCTCTAAGTACCAAAAACTGATTCATGTTTGTCATTTCAGGCCTCAGAGGCGGAGTAATAGACCCATAAAGCTGCTTCCTAGCTTATTTCTAAACTCAAGCAGAAATAATTCCTCCACAATTCAAAAGCATAAATCTTTCTAAATGACTCATATGAAATATCATCTTAGAATAAATTATAATAGCTCACAGCATAGTTTCTATTTATTTTAAAAGTTTTCCTTTTGCCTATAAAAAAGGAACTACTCAGGGCAGGTACTAAGCTTAGTGCTCAAGCTATCAGCATCTCACATCTGAATGCCTGGGTGTGATTCCCAGCTCTGGCTCCTGACTCCAACTTCTTAGTAACACAGGCCCTGGGAGGCAGCAGTCCCGATTGAAATAAAAGGGTTCCTGCCATCACTGTGCACTTGCTCCCCATGTAGGACCTCTGTCCTTAATGTGTTGTACTGTGAGAATTAACGGTAAAACTAGTCTTCAAACAGTATTTTATACTTTGTGTGTCTGTGTGGGTGCAAACTGTTGAAATCTTTACTCAGTATAGAGTTGGTCTTCCATATATAAAGATAATTAAAAATGAATCTTGATGAAGAATGGGATGGCAGATGGAGTAGGAGTGGGAGGGCGGGTATGGGGGGAAGAACCACTATATTCCTAAAACTGTACCTATGAAATTTATATTTATTAAATAAAATCTTTCTTTAAAAAAAAAAAAAAAAGAGTTCCTGCCAACTACAACTACATGGCAGACCTGGACTGAGTTGCCTGTTCCTGGCTTTGACCCAGCCCAGTACCAGGCATCTGGAAAACAGCCCAGTGGTTGGGAGCATTCTCTGTGTATATATCTGTGTCCTACAGAAGGAAGGAAGGGTGGAAGAGTGGGAGGGAGGAAGGGAAGGAGGGAGGAAAAAAGAAAAGGAAAAGAGGAAGCAATAGGCGTATATGTTCATTAGAAAATACACGGGTGCCACTTCCTATCTCAGCTGCTTTACTTCTGATCCAGCTCCTTCCTAATTAGCCTTGGAAAGCAGCAAAGGACGGCCAAAGTGTTTGGGTCCCTGCAGATAGGGAAGAACTGGATGAAGCTCCTGGTTCCTGACTTTGGCTTGGTCTGGCCCAGCCCTGACCTTTGCAGCCATCTGGGGAGTGAGCCAGTAGATTGAAGATCTCTCTGTCTCTCCTCCCTGACTCTGCCTCGGCTCTGTCACTCTGCTTTTCAAATTACAAAAACAAGTATTTAAAAAAATAAAATATATAGAAAATTGGGGTTGGCATCGTGGTACATATTAAGCTGCTCCCTCCAACACTGGCATTTCAAATGAACATTCATTCAAGTCCCAGTTGCTCCACTTCTAATCTAGTTTCCTACTAATGTGCCTGGGAAAGCAGTAAAGAATGGCTCATGTGTTTGGGGCCTTGCCACACACATTGGAGGTTCCAGACTCCTGGTTTCTACCTGGTTCAGCACCAGCCATTGCAACCCCCTGAGGATTCAACCAGCAGGTGGAAGATCAATCAATCTCTCTCCCCACCCCACCCCCATCTCTTCCTCCCTCTCTCTGTAACTCTGCTTTTCAAATAAATAAATCTTTTTTAAAGAGAAAATATATAGAAAATAAAGCAAAGCAGGAAGAAAAATTCACTGAATCCTGTCTTCGAAGGTAATGAATTGAAATTCAGGTATTTCCTTTTAGACTTCCTCTATGTCCCTTCCCCCACCTCCCCCACTTTTTTTTCAAAGGCAGAGTGACAGAAAAGGGGAGAAAGGGAAAGAGAGCAAGGGAACTATTCCATCTGCTAGTTCACTCCCCAAATGCTTTTTTTTTTTTTTTTTTTGACAGGCAGAGTTAGACAGTGAGAGAGAGAGAGAAAGGTCTTCCTTCCATTGGTTCACCCCCCAAATGGCTGCTATGGCCGTGCACTGTGCTGATCCGAAGCCAGGAGCCAGGTGCCTCCTCCTGGTCTCCCATGCGGGTGCAAGAGGAGCAACCAGGACAGAATCCGGTGCCCCGACCAGGACTAGAACCCGGGGTGCCAGCGCTGCAGGCGGAGGATTAGCCTAGTGAGCCACGGCGCTGGCCCCCCAAATGCTTTCAACAGTAGGTAAAGCTGGGCCAGCTCAATGTCAGAAATCAAGAACTGCATTCAGGTCTCCCACATGGTCAGGATCACATGCTGCCTCCCAAGCACATTAGCAGGAAGCTAGATTGAAAGTAGTTGTGGGACTTCATCCCAGGATCTCTGATATGGGATGTAGGATCTTAAGAGGCAGCTTAGGGGCTAGCGCCTTGGCCAATCGGGTAAAGCCGATGCCTGCAGTGCTGGCATCCCATACGGGCACCAGTTCAAGTTGAGGATGCTCCACTTCCAATCTAGCTCTCTGCTATGGCCTGGGAAACCAGCAGAAGATGGCCCAAGCCCTTGGGCCCCTGCACCCACGTGGGAGATCTGGAAGAAGCTCCTGGCTTCAAATCGGTTCAGCTGCCGCTATTGGGGAGTGAACCAGCAGTCCTCTCTCTCTGTTTCTGCATAATACTGCCTTTCAAATAAAAAAATAGATTTTTCTCTACATGTAGTATATATTCCTTACGGTAGGCTTCCTGGAAATGAATATTACAGGGTTAATTTTTTTTTTTTTACAAATACATCAGAATCACCAAATTTTCCTATTCTGTGTGAAATATCATTTTGTTTAGCAGTGTCTTTTTTTAGAACATAAGAAATAATGACTAAGTGTTGGAAGATAACCCTAATTAATCCTTTGCAGCTTGTCAGAGCTTTCCAGTTCTTGTGTGAAAACTCCTGAGTCTGGGTTACTGGCTTTCTGGCTTAGAAGTACCGAAGGCACTTATGGATATCTGCTGTCAAGCGCTCTCTGACACATGTGTGGGGCCACCCAATGTATCTGCACTTGGGTATTATGAGGGTACTCAAAAGATGGAATTAAAAGATAGGCTTGTTTTGGTTCAAAACAAAACATTTTTGAAATCCATGCACAGTTTATTCATAACATGCATTTTCCATCAACTTTTTGAAGACTCCCTCATGTTAAACAGCTACTTAATGCAGGGAGAAGAAAATGTCAAAATTCACGCAATAAAGAGTGAAATGAAGAACTGTTTGTGTGAACAATCACACAGCATATAAAGGTGACCAAGATTCCCATATATCCTTGCACTGAATACCTTAAAGAAGGCAAAAAACAAAAACAAAAACAAAAAACAAAAAAACAAAAACCTGCTCTTGATTCATTCTGCAATTTATGGTGAATATAAAAACATGAATTATCAGCTCAATGTTTTTAATCAATAGTAAATTAAGGGAATGCTATCAATCATAATATTTAGAAACATAAAATATCAAATTCTAAAGGGCCAAAGGGAATTAAATCCATTCTAGCTATTTCAGAATAGGGTATTTTTAACACTCTGGTTGAAATTATTTTTTATAATCTGTGACAAGACTTCATGTCCTGAGTATTAGAACTACACTGCAGGGAAGGAGCTTGGTCTAACAGTGAAGATGCTGGTCGAGATGTCTGCATTCTGCATCAGAGGGCCTGGGTTTGAAGTTCCAGCTCAGGCTCCTGACTCCAGCTTTCAACTAACCAGACACTTGGAGGCAGCATTGATAGCTCTAGTTGTTGGGTTCCTGCCCTAGATTAAGGTCTTGGCTTCCAGCTTTGTACTGGCCCAGTTCTGGCTGTTGTAGCCCTTTGGGGAATGATTAAGTGGATAGCACCTCTGTCTGTCTGTCCTTCTTAGTCTCCCAAATAAATAAAATGTCAGATGTATTTTTAAAACTATATTATAGAGACCTACATCTACAAAAATCAGAATTTGAGGAAGAGGATGAATTCAGCTAGATAATCCATTAGCCTTCTCTTAAACTGCAGGGTATTATGCAGAGGAAAGGTTAAGTTCAACAGAACATATTGAAAAGCAACAAAGCTAAGAGACTTCACTCAGAGCAGCTCCACCCAGAGAGCTAATTTAATCAAATTACCTACATAGCATCTCAGAAACCACTTAGACTTTTCTATTTTTCATTCTTCTTATCTAGTCCTTTTTGTCCTTTCCCCACATAAATCAGAGGTATACAAATGTACTAATATGAACGGTCTTCTATTTTTATGACTCTATCCAAATGTACATCTCAGGTATGAATTTTTAAGGTCATACTTTAAAACAGCCAACCAACTGTAATACATGTTCACCTAAAGTTACTAGGGTAGAGTTATCATACACAACTTCTTAAAATTTGCAATTACATATCTCTAGTTGAAAACTGTACTGAGGTCACTATAGTCAAGTTTTCTGTTTTTAAATATTATACTTTTTTTTTTTTTTTAAGTCTTCTGGATCTCTCTGCTTTTACTCCTCAATGTTTCTATCTGGTAAAGTATTTTCTATATTTACTTCCAATAATAGTGCCACTGTAGTTAGTAATATTTTTGCCAGGAGACTGGAGCTTTTCTCAGGTCTCCCACGCAGGTGCAGGGGCCCATGGACTTGGGCCATCTTCTACTGTTTCCTAGGCCATAGCAGAGAGCTGGATCGGATGTGCAGCAGCCAGGACTGGAACTGGTGCCCATATGGGATGCCGGTACTGCAGGCGGTAGCTTTACCTGCTATGCCACAACGCTGGCCCCATTAGTAATATTTTAATAATGACAATTCTTCTGACTGAACTAGTAGGCATGAAATATTTTAACAAGATGTTTCTCAAAATAGGTTAAAAAACCCATACATGTGTAGCAAAGATGAATTTGAATGAAAATCATAAGCAAGCTGTTAACTGAGCATGCCTAAAGAGTAGTATACTTTGGAGAGGACATGAGTGTGCAGCAATGTCAAGAAATGCTTTGTTGGGGCCGCCGCCTGCAGTACCGGCATCCCATATGGGTGCCAGCTCAAGTCCCGGCTGCTCCACTTCTAATCCAGTTCTCTGCTATGGCCTGGGAAAGCAGTGGAAGATGGCCCAGCTCCTTGGGCCCCTGCACTAACATGTTGAGATCTGGAAGAAGCTCCTGGCTCCTGGCTTTGGATTGGTGCAGCTCTGGCCGTGTGACCAACTGGGGAGTGAACCAGCGAACGGAAGACCTCTCCTTCTCTGCCTCTCCTCTCTCTGTGTAACTCTGACTTTCAAATAAATAAATAAATCTTAAAAAAAGAAAAGCTCCGCCAAGCATTAAAGAATCTGGATTTACAGATAATCAGAAACACACAGGAAACACTGCAATACCTCTATATTAATTAGTGACACTTGAAGATCAGATGGGAGAAACTCCACCTTGTCACGTCCTTTAAAACAGTAAACAGCAAAATGTTTTAAATCATGAGCATCAGCAGTAGCTTTTTTTACTGAGAATTTATAACATATACTCTTGTACAATTTTAAATTTATGGGGCCAGCATTGTGGCATGGTAGGTAAAGCCACCGCCAGGAATGCCGGCATCTCATACAGGAGCTGGTTTGTGTCTCAGCTGCTGTTTCCGACCCAGCTCCCTGCTAATGGCCTGGGAAAAGTAGTGGAAAATGGTCCAAGTGTTTGCGCCCCTATCACTGACATGGGAGACCTGCATTAAGCTCCTGGCTCCTGGTTTTGGCCTGGCCCAACCCTGGCCATTGTGGCCATCTAGGGAGTGAACCAGTGGATGGAAGACTTCTCTCTCTCTGTAACTCTTCTAAATAAATCAATTTTTAAAAATAAATAAATAAACATACGACAGCATATACATATTCAAACAACAACCTTGAAAGGACCTTTGTACAAGGAAATATAAACCTTTCATAAGAAACTAAAATACTGGACTTACTTGGAGACAATTATTTTACTATAACATAATTTCCTAGGAACTCTTAGATTTTCAACACCAAACAACCTTAAGCTTTCTGGGAACTTATCCTCTTCATAAAGCAATCATCCTATAAAAAGTAGTGCATTTAGATCTGATGATAGTAAAATCCTTTCTTTATCAAAGGGCTCCTATGTTACATAAGTTTAAACTACATAAAGGAGGAACGTGGGTAATTATTAAAGCAATATGGGTAAATGAAGTGAGTCATTAATGAGTGGTTTAAAATAAATGTCACATATATTCCATTAAAATGCACTAAACAATAGGGTGAAAACACAGTGGTCTCTCATTCCTTTGGGTCTCTATAAATACTCAGTGTGAATTATATAATCTGTTGTCACACTAAAATGCTGCTACTGAACTTAAGAAGTGACATGAACAAATAACTGATTTGGCCAACACAAATAATAAAATGGAATGAAAGAAATCCTAAAACTAAAAGATGCCATCAAAGTAAATGATACCCAAATAATAAAGTGCAACATAAACAATTTTGGTTAAATTATAGGTTAGGAAAGTGTAAGGACTACACATAGAAACCTAACTGGGAAAGAGATCAAGAGGATTAAGAAATGACGAAGCAGCAGACAGATGGAAATGAACACCTAAAGGAAATGAGAAAATTAAAGTTCACAGCACAACACAACACAGTAATGTCCTCATGAAAAGTTGGAGAGTTCTTAAGTCAGGATAATAAATATTTCCTAAATAAAAATCCTGGGTAGTTCAAACCAACAATCAAGCTCATTCCTACATAATCATTTTATCACTTTCAGATTCAGAAGATATTTAAACATTAAGATGTATTCTAAGGGTGTTTTGCCCCAATTACATTTACAACATTGGAAATGGAAACATTTCCAAGGATTAAAATCATCTGACCATATGTTACTCATCCTCCAAGTGTACTTAAACTCAAATAATTCCAGTTATTCATAAATTATTCCAAAGAAAAACTAAACCTATCCAAAGAGATATAACTACGAAAGAACAAAGTTATATATGAGTTAAATGTATGTGTAATTTAACCCTATTCTCACAAGTTGAATTCAATACATATTCAACTAAATTTGAAATAAAAATTTTTTATCAGCACTTTGTTAAAATATGTAGTATTAGTAAATAAGCTCAATAAAAAAGACTTAATTTTCCTGGTGACAGGAAAAAGAAAAAGTGAGCTTCAGAAATTAACCTATTGAAAATACCTAAACTCACAATCAATTTATAGCACTTTCTTTTTCTAGCACAAAGGACTATGGTCACTGGAAGTATACCAAAGTTTTAAAAAACCTTTTTTTTTTTTTTAAATAAAATGCATAATATTTAGAAAGGTAGTTAACAGGCAGGTATAATGTTTTATTCATATTGATATTCTGCCCCATGTCATAGGAGTCTCTACCCAATGCAGGTACTTAAATTCAGAACTTTGAATGAATAACTCAAAGTGGGAAGAGGGTGGTGGCAGAGCCAGAAAAAGGCACCTCAAACATGTTATCATGTCTGGTAATAACTTCTATTTCAATGACTGAAATTTCTACAGCCACAATAACATAACATGCTAATTTGAGACTAGCATGTATATATCAATATTTGCCCAATTTAATTCTTTGCAAGCACATAACAGAACTTTTTGCTTAAATAAAAAGAGCAAACCATTTAGAGCAACTGTTCTACAGTCCTGAATGAAACACTAAGCATGGCAGTTCTAATTGCTAAAAACAAAACTCAAGTGGGAGAGCTCCCTACTGAATGAAGCACAGTGAAAAACTTTACTCAACCATTTCTCTGCTTATATAATATTAAGATACGTCTTACACAGCAAACCAACAGGGACCAATCCCCAAGGGCTGCTGAGAGGGCACAGGAAAGGGTGGTCCCACCCTTACCCCACTGGCAGTAACTTTTCCAAACTTCTCACGAGGAAGGTAAAATGTTGGGAGTGGGGCTGGAATGGAGGCATTATCATTCCTTAAATGTCCTCTTTATTTTGTGGCCTCCATTTTCACAACTTTCGGCCATATCCTAAGACTGAGGCTGCAAACTGGGGGCATGTCAATGTCTAATGTTTGCAGATACACTGAGTAGTACTTCTAGATTTTTAAAATTGCTATTCTTTAAATATCAGAAAATTTCACATAAATATCTTAATTTCCAGTCTATTATAGAATCAGAAAACCTGGCAACACCAGGCATGCACAGCAACAAATGGGCAGAGCTAAGGGGTGGCTGCCTCTATTAGACAGGGCCTGCCACAGTCCCTACTTCCCCCGTGTTTCTTATTCTTGGCCACCGTCATTCATTTACAATTTTTTTTATTTATTTTTTATTTTTTTTTTGACAGGCAGAGTGGACAGTGAGAGAGAGAGACAGAGAGAAAGGTCTTCCTTTTGCCGTTGGTTCACCCTCCAATGGCCGCCGCGGCCGGCGCGCTGCGGCCGGCGCACCGCGCTGATCCGATGGCAGGAGCCAGGAGCCAGGTGCTTTTCCTGGTCTCCCATGGGGTGCAGGGCCCAAGCACCTGGGCCATCCTCCACTACACTCCCTGGCCACAGCAGAGAGCTGGCCTGGAAGAGGGGCAACCGGGACAGAATCCGGCGCCCCAACCGGGACTAGAACCCGGTGTGCCGGCGCCGCTAGGCGGAGGATTAGCCTAGTGAGCCGCGGCGCCGGCCTCATTTACATTATCTATCTAGACCCTAGACACCGAGCTTTCGGTCCTCATGCTCCTACCTTGCTTACCTATAAATTTTTGGTAAAGAAACTTCAATATAGAGTCCCTGAAATTCTGCTTCTATCAAATGAATGAGATATTAGCAAGGGTATAGGAGTTCTTTGAGGTACACTGGTTTCCCTATTCATCTTTTTCATTCTCCCCCCTCTTGGTTACCAGATGTCAGCGATGCATGTTGATGCTGACATTATTACCAAATTACTTCCAGTTAATAAGCAGATATGACAAAAATATACTGATTTTTGAGGATGGCTGTAGAGAATAATTTACTATGAGCTAGTACAACCATTTAATGCATATCCAACTTATTTTATTTGGAAGCTGATTTAACCAACCTAGGAATAAAATTATTGAACCTATTATCAGAGAAATAGTCCTTTAGTGGGGTGATATGGGACTTTATCACTTTAGCTCTCTCTCCAATCTCTGGCTTTATGAGTAGTTTGAAAGATAAGACATATTTACAAAATTGCAAATAACACAATGTTGAGAGAGATATATAATGGAACAAGTGACAAAAATAATGTTTGAAATGACTGAGCTAGAACAAATGAATCAAAAAGAAGAATGTGACATTTAATAGAGATATACATCTGCATTTAGATTCAAAGAATCAACTAAAAATGTCAAACACAATTAGGGAGGAGAGGACATCCACCTTCATAGCACTTCATATAAGAAAAGTGGTTTTAATTAACCCAAGAGTGGATGCCAACAGTGGGACAGGGCTGCTAAGAGTTAACTCATGCACTGGACAGGTGCTGTCCTAACTGTGGAACATGACTGCCACTGTCCTGGACTAGCTAGGCCACATTTAGGGCACTACCACCACTAAGAGGTCCTCCGAAAACCAAAAGGGCTTTCAGATGAGGCTAATTGGGAACGATGGGTCATCAGACCGACTAATTTAAGAAAAGCTGAAAGAAATGGGGATGTTCTACCTGGAGAAGAGAAAATTAGGGAAGACATGATGGCCATCTTCAAATGTCTGAAGAATTGCTATGTTGAAGAGGGAGTAGAATAGTCGTGTGTTGATCTAAAGGGCAGAACTAAAACTAAAGGAGAAAAAGTTATAGTGAAACATTTTAGTTTAAAGAAAAAAAAAAGTAAAAACCCTCTCTTTGATGAAGGAAGCCAGCAGCTGGTAAACAGCACTCTCTAAGGCAGGCTTGCAGGAAGGCACTCTAACAGGAGGTCAGGCCAGATGAATTCTACGATTCCCATAATGGAGCTCCTGGACATTGTTTGGTTTGAACTAGCCTTTTGTTTTCTCAGTCAGTCATCATGAGACAATCTGTCTGGGTTCCTACTTTACAAGATGCCACTCAACTTTATCTAAGGAGTGTGCTGATTCTTCCAAAGCGGTCAACTGAGATGGCTACATTCTTATCCCAGAGCTGCTAGTGCTCAAAGGATCAGTGAAACGAAACACTCTTAGAATGCCTTCAAAATCAGTTCTGACTCAGGTAAGAAACCATCTAATGACACAACCACCATGTTGCTGATGGACACAAACTATCATCAATTTAATATAACTGGAGTCTAGCCCTCAGCCAGTGTTCAGTAGTGAACCAAATACCTGACCTGTTTCTAACCAAAAGCTATCATGAAGCTTGATCACCAGTCTTAATCAAGCCCAGCTCCCAAAGACATCTAGAGGATTTCAAAAACCTAATTCATCCTTAGACAAATACAAACTTGTGAACAGATACAAATTAATATTACATAGGTTCTTAAATGCTCAAAAAATATAAAATGAATTTGAACAAAAGGTAGCATGATCAGAATAAGAATGAAACTTTCGAAGTTTACTGGGTTGAGGGAATGTATAGATCTTTTTTCCCTTTCTTTTTAAAAAGCATATTCCTTCAAAAGAATACTTCATGTTTTGGTTCAACTATGAATATTACAGATATTTTTTCCCATACTCCACTGAATCCTTAAAGTTGACTATGATCCTCATTTCCAGAAACCCTGTTCTTTCAAATAAACATTCAAGGCACTTAAAAAAGTAAGACTGTCATTATAAATGGTTTCAAGAATAGAGAATTTTTTCAAACCTAAAATCTGCTCACATTATTATGGTTTTAATAAGATATGTCATTTGAATGAAAGCTGAATACAGTATAATGTATTTTTTATTTGGGCTCATGGTATCTTTTCCTTACTACAAAAGTCCTAATCTATTTCTATAACTCACAGCCAAAATTTCTGATCTCTCTATACATATTCTCTTCTAATATGAAAGCTACTCTAACTTCCTTTATGAAAATAACAATCCAAAATCTTATTTTACAGGTCTCTACATATACCTATTAATTTAAAAACATTAAGGAAGCTTCCAAAACTAAACATTTGTCACCACAGTGAGAATTTTAGTGGAAGTTAGTTGGGCATCAGTTGGCTTGTTGTCTTTGTAGTGATTATCTGTGTAATAAGTAGTTATCCATTTTTTCTTTTGTATTTTAACAGAATGCCTGGTACCCAGTAAATAAAGTTGAGAACCTGTTAAGAACTGCAGTGAAGATTTTGTTCTTTACAGATTGCAGCAAGTCTGAGTTGAGGAAGTTCTGACAGATGCAAAATGTACACCTGTTGCAGGTGCACATACAGCGTAACCGGGCATGGCTGCGAAAACACACAGAAGGACAGGAGTTGAGTTCTTACTTACAAATATGGCACAAGTCAGGATGTGCCAACTTCAAAAAAAAAATTTAGGCATAAGCAACACTCGCTGTAGAAAGGAAAAGGACAGTGTGGGGCATGCTAAAGTTGTGCAGAATTCCACATTTACCAAAAGCACAATAAACAGTAATAGTTTCTTCCTCCCTCCCTCCCTATAGAAAATCTGGGGAAAATTAACTAACACTTTTGCTCTTTTTGGAGGGGGGCAATGGAATTATTATTCCATACATTTTAGTGGAATAAATATGCACAGCAATAGATGACACCCTCGTCTAAATTAATAAAATGAAAAACTGAGTAAGCCATAGCACCCACCAAAAGGACAAGGTTTGCTAGCATTTAAATATCCAAACCCTCCTCCTCCTCCTCGCTCAGCATACATACATGCCTGAAAAACCAGGAAGGAGAAGAGTGACAAATACACAAGACTCAAAAGACGAGTATATTCAACCCTGAGAAGATATGAACAACATCGTCTTTAATTCATCAAGCACCCTGACTCCCAAGGGAAATCAAAGTGCTTCATAAATTTCCACTCAAACAAGATATGGGGTTAATTTCATCTGCTACCCAAACACAGCAGCTAAATGACAGTATGAAACTCTTGGTAAGGATGAAAAATCAACAATGGATCCAATTGAAATTAGATAGGAAATTTAGGGAGGCTTTCTGACTCCTTTCTGGTTGAGTGGAGTTGCACTAGTTGGTGCAGGCCATGGCGCAACCCATTTCACCTCAGCCCTAACTACCAAGGTAGAGAGTTTCCAATGACTGTTCGGTGGTCAGAGCCACTCAGACATACAAAGCCATCACACAGCCCATGAAGAGGTACTGGCACAGAACCCACTCAGAAGAGCGCCATATGATGAATCAATGCCATCACTTCCTGTAACACCTGAACATTTTTAGAGGCTTCTCAGTCAAAGGACTGGCCCAATCTGACTTGGCTTAGCTTGTGAGAGCTGATGAGACCACAGCACACGGTGGCATGGTTGTGGAGATTAGCAGCATCCCAATAATGCCTAATTCCCAACATGGAGAAAAACAAGAATTAATTTTGAGAATTAATGCTCAAGACATTCCTTTTTAAAATTTCACTCGTGATAATGAACATATCACTGCTACTAAGTCACTGCCAGCTGTCATACTGGAATCCATCTGTTATTTTATAAATTCAGTCTGACTCTTAATATACACAAGGCTCCACCCACCAAAAAGGAGAAATGCAAAGTATGCTTAGCAACAGGGAGATGTTTCATGAGAAGTAGTTTGGGATTTACCATATAAACAAGTGTCTATGTATGTACATTTATCATATACACACACACACACACACACACAGGAAGCACAGTTAAGTGTTTTAAAGAGGCAGGTCTAAAATCACAGTTGCAATTATTTACAAGACTAAAAAGATACATTCACATAGAAAAGAAGACACCATGATATGCAGTTACGCAGTAAGCTTGACCAAGCAGTGCGTTTCTATATAATTACTAAATGCTAATTATGGCAAGAAAGGAGATTTCGTCAGCCTATAAGAAAAAGTCAACAAAATCCCACAGAAGTCATAAAGAAAAAGTAACTTACAAAGCAGTTTTTAGAAAGACCCAGATTTTTCTCAAATTCTCTATTCTATCAGTGTTGCCCATGTCTCGGGAGATTCTGTCTCTGTAATGATCCTCTCTGTAGATAACATACATGAGAGTTTTAAAGCAAAGGTAACACATAAGTAAGATTTTGCTTATCTTATAGCTATAGGAATGATTTGTCTTTCAATACAAATAGAAACTCAAGGGTTTGCTCCATTTTTAAAAAAGTATTACTTAACAAATAGCAGTAAAGTTAACTGATTTTAAAAATCTATACAAATTAACACCTTTCTAAAAAACCTCAATCTTGGTTTATAGCAATGTTTATTACTCCACAAGTATTTTATACTGTAGTTTTCATAAGGAAAAGTAATTTAGAGACTAACATAATAATAAATAAGCTATGAAATCCAAAGAAACGCACTGCCTGAAAAACTATTTTGTTACAAAACAGAATTTATACAAACACACTACTTGAAAAGAATGCCATTAAGAATCATGCAATTGTAAGGCAGTTAGTAAACTTCGCAGATGACCACAGTTACGTGCTTGTGCATATGCATGTATACATATATAATAAATGTACATGAAATTTGTGGCTCATACCATTTAATGAAAAATATTTATACAGTGGCAATTCCAATTACAACTATTTTTACAGCATTTAAAAAGATTTTATATCCTGAACTCAAGCATACCAATAACTTCAATGTAAGTTCATAAGAGATTTTAGACTTTCATATTCCCCAAGATCAATCAACAGAAAAATATGAAAAGGAACTTTTCTTTCATACAGAAATAGCTCATTAGCATAAATCAACATGATGCCAACTCTATATTTTACTGCAGCATGATGCAGCCCTATTCTTTATGTTGGATGGGGCTGTGCTTTTGCATTATCCTATTAAGATAGTTACAGCCACATCAAAAAATATACAAATATTGTCAGAAGTGCTGTTCACATCATTTTATTAGGACACCCAAACCACACTTGCATTTACTCTAATTTATATCTTCTCATTACAAAATCTCTTTCTGTTGCTGAACAACTTCTATGTGACAAAGAGCCCACCCCACCATGGCTAATAATGGCATGCAATGTTATGAACCATGCAACATGAAAATGAAGACAGAGTAAGTACTTACGGGTACATGGCCATTGTTGTCAATTTAACAAAGATATCCTTACTGGGTGCATCAGCAGTATTGCAAGTGAAGGCTTGTGGTGGAGGCATTTTGTGTTTCCTGCAGAAATCAGTAGGTGAAATACTATATTCTTGTTTAACTTCATGCAGGTCTGACTTTGCAGCTACAATTAAGCAAGGTATTCTGCTGTCCATAAAGTGTTGCTATGGAATAAAAAAAGAAATAAAAATCTGATGAGCAGTTACAAAATGTGAAATGTGAGCTAAAAATTTTTCTGAATAGGTAAAGCAATAATAAATTCTTTTTTTTTCAATTTTCAAATATTTTTTATTTATCATATTTTTGTGGAAACATGAAAACTTTGCATTAACAATAACTGTACACATTTTCATGGGGCAGTATGATACTTCAATGCGTGTATGAAATGTGTACCAATCAAATAAGGGTAATTAACGTTTCCCTCTCTGTCATTACTTTACAAATGGAGCTTTGGAGCGCTTCTTCTCTATTTGCTTATGCAACTACAATTCCAAAGACAGAAAAGAAACCAAGAGACAAAGACTGACAGCGGTCTAGGTGAGTCTCATATAATAAGTCAGACCAGGACCACTTTTTTCATGCAGGTGAAAACAAACCTACATTGATTCTTTAGATTCACTACAGTTCTTTAAAAATATCTTTAAATCAAAAAGACAAAATAAACACTTCAAAATAAAGAGATCTACCCTAATTATTTTGTCCTACAGAAGACTATCTTTATTTGCATATTATCTGTGTCCTGCAGCACATGTATTTACATATGTTTTTATATAGTTGCAGTCATGGTCAACACAACCATTTTAAAATAGTGAGGCTGGTGTTGTGGCACAGGGGGTTAGGCGGCCACTTGTGATGCTGGCATCCCATATCAGGTTCAAGTTTGGATTGCTCTGCTTCTAATTCAGCTCCCTACTAATGCACCGGGAAAGCAGTGGAAGATGGCCCAAGGACTTGGATCCGTGCCACCACTGTGGGAGATGTGGATGGAATTCCTGACTCCTGGTTTTGGCTGACCCAAACCTGGTTACTGCAGCTATCTGGGGAGTGAAACATTGGATGGAAGATTTCCCTTCCTCTCCCCCCAACCCCCGCCGCTGTCGCTCTTTCAAATACATAAGTAAATATTAAAAAAATAATACTTTATCTTCCCAGTTCTTCAGAATTCACCTTTATTTTTAATGGTTGCTTCATATTCCACTAGATTTTATCTTAATTTGGTATCCTACTGCTAGACATCTGGATTACTTTCATTTTTTTCATGCTAAAAACAATGCTGGAATAAATCTTTGTACATACAGCTTTTTACTTCTATTCAATCCTGCTGCTAACCTCCAAGTGACTGATAAACTTCCTAATCCTCTGATCTACCCCTTTGCCCAAACTATTATTCTTGGTGTAACTGGTAATATATAATCCATATACATTCCTAACTGCCAGAAAGATCTTTTATTAATGCAAAGGTTCTTAACCAGGAATGTACATCAGAATCATGTATGGGAAATTAATACGTATAAGTATATTCCATCACTTCAGAACAACAACAAAAAAAAAACATTTAGAGACAGGGTAAAGAAGTATTTTTTAAAAGCTCCGAGAGTTATTTTGCCACAGATTTCTGGTTATGAAACACACCTTGAAATTCCATCAAAACTCCATATAAAATTACATTTAGTTATAGTCAGTAAGAACAACAAACCTTAAAAATCCTGGCACAGTATTCAAAGGATTTGGGATTACTGACATCATATACCAGGCACACAACATCACAAATTATCTCAGCCTCAGTTAGAAATTCTGATTCTGAGATATCATGCAACTGTAAAAAGACAAAGAAAATGAGAAACATAAGTGCTGTAATAATGATGTATAGTTAAAGTTCAAACTTCTGGGCTCCCGGCTATGGCCTGGCCCAGCCCAGCTGTTGCACGCATTTGGGAAGTAAATCAGCAGATGGAAGTCTCTCTCCTCTCCCCCTCTCTCTCCTTTCCTAACACCTCTCCATTTTATCATTCAAACAAATAAATAAATCTTAAAAGATTCTACAGATTGCGACACTGAGTAAATAACACGTGTTGGGAATATCCTCTGCACATACTGTCTACATTCTAAAGATGAAACAGGCTAGAAAGACTAAGTGTAGACAACACTTAGTGACTCAAAAGTCATCAACCCAAATTTTAACCCAAATGATTGACAAGTCTATTTTCTTCCTACTACACCATCTTTTCTCCCCACTAATCAAAAGCACAAAGTGGGGCAGGCATTGGTCTCAGTGGTTAAGCTGCTGCTTGGGATACCACTTTGTAATATCAGAGTCTGGTTCAAATCCCGGCTTCTCCACTTCTGATCCAGCTTCTTCCTAATGCACACCCTGGGAGGTAACAAACCATGGCTCCAGTACCTGGGCTCCTGCCATTCAAGTGGGAAATACAGACTGAATTTGCCATGGCCTGGCCCTGGTTCTTGTGGGCATTTTGAGAGTGAACCAGCACACGGAAGATCTCTGTCTCTACCATTCTAATAAAAAATTTTTAAAGCAAAAGGCAAATGACACTAAGGTCATTTTGTTCTGCTTCACTGTCTACTCTGTTCAATGTTTATTACAAAATTTTTCATCTCGCTTCTTTTTATGCAATAAACATAGTAGCAGAGTTCCATGAAGAGAGTATACCTGACAGACCAGGTAGATATATCAGGAAAGAACTGAGAGCCTATAAAAAAAAAATTTTTTTTGTTTGTTAAGATTTATTTATTTAGGCCGGCGCCGCGGCTCACTAGGCTAATCCTCCGCCTTGCGGCGCTGGCACACCGGGTTCTAGTCCCGGTCGGGGCACCGAATTCTGTCCCGGTTGCCCCTCTTCCAGGCCAGCTCTCTGCTGTGGCCAGGCAGTGCAGGGGAGGATGGTCCAAGTGCTTGGGCCCTGCACCCCATGGGAGACCAGGATAAGTACCTGGCTCCTGCCTTTGGATCAGCGCAGTGTGCCGGCCGCAGCGCGCCAGCCGCGGCGGCCATTGGAGGGTGAACCAACGGCAAAGACCTTTCTCTCTGTCTCTCTCTCTCACTGTCCACTCTGCCTGTCAAAAAATTCAAAGAAAATACAATCAGAAATAGATTTATTTATTTATTGGAGAGGCAGAATTACAGACAGAGTGAAAGAGAAAAGAACTCTTCCACCCACTGGCCTACTCCCTAAATGGCCACAATGGCTGGAGCTAGGCCTATCCAAAGCCAGGAGCCAGGAGCTTCTTCTGGGACTCCCCTGTGGATGCAGGAGCTCAAGCACTTGGGCCATCTTCTACTGCTTTCCCAGTGAAGTTGCCAGGACTTGAACTGGCACCCAAATGAGATGCCGGCACTGCAGGCAAAGGCTTGACTACTACACCACAGTGCCAGTCCCAATATAAAATTTCTTAAATAGGCCGGCGCCACGGCTCACTTGGCTAATCCTCCGCCTGCGGCGCCGGCACCCTGGGTTCTAGCCCAGGTGGGGGCGCCGGATTCTGTCCCGGTTGCTCCTCTTCCAGTCCAGCTCTCCACTGTGGCCCGGGAAGGCAGTGGAGGATGGCCCAACTACTTGGGCCCTGCACCCGCATGGGAGACCAGGAGAAGCACCTGGGTCCTGGCTTCAGATCGGCAAAGTGCGCCAGCCGCAGCACACCAGCTGTAGCGGCCATTTAGGGGGTGAACCAACGGAAAAGGAAGACCTTCTCTCTCTCTCTCTCTCTCTCTCTCTCTCTCTCTCTCTCTCTCACTGTCTAACTCTGCCTGTCAAAAAATAAATAAATAAAATAAAATTTAAAAAAATCCCTGGGGCCAGTGTTGTAGCGCAGTGGATTAAGCTGCCACCTATGACACTGGCATTCCATGAGTCCAGTTTGAGTCCCAGCTGCTCCACTTCCAATTCCACTCTCTGCTTATACACTTGAGAAGCAGTAGAAGATGGATCAAGTATTTGAGATCCTGTCACCCATGTGGAAGACTTGGAAGGAGTTCCAGGCTCCTGGCTTTAACCTGGCCTAGCCCTAGCCTTTGCAGACATTCGGGGATTGAACCAGTGGGTGGAAAATCTCTCTCTCTCTCTCTCTCTGTCTCTTCCTCTGTCTAAAAATCTACCTTTCAAATAAATGAAATCTTTTTAATAAAAGAATCCTTTTTGTGACACATCAATAATCTAACAAGTCAAATTTAGTACTGTGTTGCATAAGATAGTCTTTGCTGAGAAGATGAAAGGAGAAGTAGAGAGGCAGAAGGAATCCACTCTATTCCTAATGAAACACTTATGATAGCATACATAGTCAGAGACTTCAAATGAAAGATGAATTTGGGGCCGGTGCTGTGGCACAGCAGGTTAAAACCCTGGCCTGAAGCACCAGCATCCGATATGGGTGCTGGTTCTAGTCCCAGCTGCTCCTCTTCTGATCAAGCTCCTTCTATGGCCTGGGAAAGCAGCAGAAGATCCCAAGTCCTAGGGCCCCTGTACCCATGTGGGAAACCCAGAAGTTTCTGGTTCCTGGCTTCAGATTGACGTAGCTTCAGCTGTTGTGGCCACCTGGGGAGTGAACCAGCAGATGGAAGACCTCTCTTTCTCTGTCTCTACCTCTCTCTGTATCTCTCAAATAAAATAAATCTTTAAAAAAAGAGAAAGATAGGAATTTACAAAGAATGAAGAGTAAGAACACAGGTACAGGTGTTTGGTGTAGCTGTTAGGACTGCCTGAGAGGGGCAGCATTGTGGCACAGCAGGTAAAGCCACTGCCTACAATGCTGGCATTCCATTTGGGTGCCAGTTTGAGTCCTGGCTACTTCACCTCTGATCCACCTCCCTGCTCATGGCCTGGGAAAGGTGGTAGAGGATGGCCCAAATACTTGGGCCCCTGCCATTCACATGGGATACCTGGATGAAGCCCCTGCCTCCTGACTTCAGTCTGCCTCAGCCCTGGCCGTTGCGGCCACCTGGGGAGTGAACCAATGTATGCAAAATCTCTCCCTCCCTCTATTTGTCTCTCCTTCTCTCTCTGTAACTATTTCAGACTGCCTGGGACATGTGTATCCCATATCAGAGGGCCTGGGTTTGAGTCCTGGCTCACTCTCAATTCCTGATTCCTGCTAATGTGCACCCTAGAAGACAGCAGGTGATGGCTCAAGAACTTGAGTATCCACCACTCCTAAAGGAGACCTGGGTGGAGTTTCAAATTCCTGGATTCAGCCTGCCCTAGCCCTGGCTGTTGTGGGCCTTTGAGAATGAACCAATAGATAGAAAAGCTCCCCATGTCTGGCTCTTTGCCACTCTTTGTCCTTTTTTTTTTTTTTTTTTTGGACAGGCAGAGAGTGGACAGTGAGAGAGAGACAGAGAGAAAGGTCTTCCTTTTCCATTGGTTCACCCCCCAATGGCTGCTACGGCCAGTGCGCTGTGGCTGGCGCACTGCGCCGATCTGAAGCCAGGAGCCAGGCGCTTCTAAATTTACTATCAATCCAATCAGCAGAACTATTTTTAAAATTGATTTGATTAGGCCGGTGCTGCAGTTCACTAGGCTAATCCTCCAACAAGCGGCACCGGTACACCGGGTTCTAGTCCCGGTCGGGGCGCCGGATTCTGTCCCGGTTGCCCCTCTTCCAGGCCAGCTCTCTGCTGTGGCCAGGGAGTGCAGGGGAGGATGGCCCAAGTGCTTGGGCCCTGCACCCCATGGGAGACCAGGAGAAGCACCTGGCTCCTGCCTTTGGATCAGCGCGGTGCGCTGGCCGCAGCGCGCCGGCCGTTGTGGCCATTGGAGGGTGAACCAACGGCAAAAGGAAGACCTTTCTCTCTGTCTCTCTCTCTCACTGTCCACTCTGCCTGTCAAAAAAAAAAAAAAAATTGATTTGTTTATTTATTTGAAAGGCAGAAATACAGAGAGAGGAGAGGGAGAAGTAGAGGGAGAGGGAATCAGAGAGGAAGATGGAGAGGAGGGAGAGAGAGACAGGCAGAGAGAGAGAGAGAGATCGCTTCTCGGCCTTTTGGCTAAGATCAAGTGTAGTATCTGTTCTTATCAGTTTAATATTTGATACATCTTCTATCCGAGGACAATATATTAAATAGATTTTTGGAGCCGGGAGTTGGAATAGGAGCTTGCTCTGTCTACTCTGCGCATTGACCTGGTATTGCAGTACTTCCGGGCATGTTGCAGAAAAAAAATAAAATAAAATAACTAAAAAAAAAAAAAAAAAAAGAAAGAAAAGAAAGAGAGAGAGAGAGAGAAAGGTTAAGTCCCAGCTGCTTCACTTTGAACCCAGCTCTCTGTTCATGTGCCTGGGAAAGCAGTAGAAGATGGTTCAAGTACTTGGGCCCCTGCACCCGTGTGGGAGACCCAGAAGAAGCTCCTGGCTTCGGATTGGCCCAGTTCTGTGGGCCATTTGGGAAGTGAGCCAGTGGAAGATCTCTGTCTCTCTGCAATTCTGCTTCTAAATAAATAAATCTATATCTAATGTAATGTTTCGACAGGCAGAGTGGACAGTGAGAGAGAGAGAGAGAGCCAGAGAGAAAGGTCTTCCTTTGCCGTTGGTTCACCCTCCAGTGGCCGCTGCGGCCGGCGCACCGCGCTGATCCGAAGGCAGGAGCCAGGTGCTTCTCCTGGTCTCCCATGGGGTGCAGGACCCTAGCACTTGAGCCATCCTCCACTGCACTCCTGGGCCACAGCAGAGAGCTGGTCTGGAAGAGGGGCAACTGGGACAGAATCCGACACCCGGACTGGGACTAGAACCCGGTGTGCCGGCGCCGCTAGGTGGAGGATTAGCCTATTGAGCCGCGGCGCTGGCCAAGAAAAAAAAAAAAAAAAAAGACCCACACTGGGGCTGGCGCTGTGACATAGTAGGATGAGCCTCCACCTGAGGTACCAGCATACCATATGGGCACCTGTTCGTGTCCCAGCTGCTCCTCTTCCCTGATCCAGCCCTCTGCTTATGGCCTGGGAACACAGTATAAGATGGCCAAGTAATTGGGCCCCTGCAATCTGCAAGGGAAACCCAGAAGAAACTCTTGGCTTCTGGCTTCAGATCAGTTCCAGGGAATGAACCAGAGGATGAAAGACCTTTCTGTCTCTTGCTCTCTCTGTCTGAACTCTACATCTCAAATAAACAAATAAAATCTTTTTTTAAAAAAAAGAAAATGGCCGGCGCCGTGGCTCAATAGGCTAATCCTCCACCTTGTGGCGCCGGCACACCGGGTTCTAGTCCTGGTCGGGGCTCCGGATTCTGTCCCAGTTGCCCCTCTTCCAGGCCAGCTCTCTGCTGTGGCCAGGGAGTGCAGTGGAGGATGGTCCAAGTGCTTGGGCCCTGCACCCCATGGGAGACCAGGAGAAGCACCTTGCTCCTGCCTTTGGATCAGCGCGGTGCGCCAGCCGCAGCGGCCATTGGAGGGTGAACCAACGGCAAAGGAAGACCTTTCTCTCTGTCTCTCTCTCTCACTGTCCACTCTGTCAAAAAAAAAAAAAAAAAAGAAAAGAAAAGAAAATAATTCTCCCTGCTAAACAGATAAACCAGCAAACATAAGCATTGTTTTCACAATATATTCCCAAGCCACACGAGGGAGAAAAATTTTTTTAAAAAGAGAGGTGAAGAAAAGTATTTAGAAGGGAGGCATTTTTAAACTATCTTATTGTGCTACAGCAAACATACAATTAAGTGTACACACAGATGAACTTTTTATTTATATCTATACCCTGTAGTCACCACACAAAGAAATTAAATTCCATTATTAAACCATATTGAAAAAAACCCACAAATTCTACATATAGCCATTAAATTAAAACCAATGTGTTCTCAAAGTGTCTATTAAAAATGTATCTAATAGGGGCCAGAGCTATGGCGTAGCAGGCTAAGCCTCTGCTTGTGGTGCTGGCATCCCATATGGGTGCCAGTTTGAGTCCCAGCTGCTCCACTTCCGACCCAGCTCTCTGCTGATGGCCTGGGAAAGCAGCAAAAGGTGGTCCAAGTACTTGAGCCCCTGTGCCCGTGTGGGAGACCTGGAAGAAGCTCTTTGCTCCTGGCTTCAGATCCCCTCAGCTCTGGCCGTTGCAGCCATTTGGGGAGTGAACCAGCAGATGGATGACCTCTCTCTCTCTGCCTCTGCCTCTCTGTAGCTGTGCCTCTCAAATAAACAAACAAATCTTTAAAAATATATATCTAATAATTAAAATATTTTATCACATAATTTCTTACCAACAAATACTTTTCTTGTCCATATACATAAACAGTGTTAATCGCATAGTAGGATTTATGATCATCACGGATTTTCTTCTGCTTCTGAAAACAGAACAGCAAACTTCAATATTCACGGTAAGAAATTACAGTAACTGATTTCATCAACACATTCAACACACATTTCTGTGTGTATGTGTGGGCATATTATAAGGAAAGGACATTCTTCTTTACACTATGTGCTATTTAGCAATACAAATGGATATTGACTTTATAATTCGTACTTCTTAGGGTCTAAGACAAAAGATGCATGCATTCTAGAAAGGGAAAGTAGCAGCTGATGGGGAAGTAAACTTAAAGTATATTCTAGGGCCATCTGCTGGCACTTTTCATAATATAATTTCATCTGAATGAGACTCATCTATCTGAGAACATATCATTCTTCTTAATCAAGAGAGTAATCAGAATTATCTATTGGTATATAGGAAGAAATATTCAATATGGCAGGGCAGCACTGTGGCATAGAAGGCTAAACCTCCGCCTGCTACACCGGCATCCCATATGGGTACCTGTTCAAGTCCCAGCTGCTCCACTTCCAATCCAACTCTCTGCTATGGCCTGCGAAACCAGTAGAAGATGGCCCAAGTGCTTGGGCCCCTGCACCTGTGTGGGAGACCTGGAAGAAAGTCCTGGCTCCTGGCTTCAGATTGGCGCAGCTTTGGCTATTGTGGCCACTTGGGGAGTGAGCCAGTGGATGCAAGACCTTTCTTTCTGTCTCTCCCTCTCTGTCAGTAACTCAACCTCTCAAATATATACATAAAATCTTAAAAAAAAAAAAAAAGAAATACTCAATATGTATTTACGTCATGCCAATGACTGTGTTAGGTGTTACCATGTATAGTTATTTAATCCCTAGCTCACACTGGTTAGAAAAAAAGGCAAATGAGCCAACACCAACAAAACAAAGATAAAGATGGCTCACCAGGAGTCTTGCTACACTTTAGATTATACTTCAGTGTATGCAGGCTACTGAACTCGAGTGAAAAGGGTAATGACTATGAGAAAATCACGTAAACGCAGGACTGTAAAATGTACTGGATGAAGGAGGGCACTGTGGTACAGTCTAAAGTCAAGCTGCCGCTTGGGAAGCTTGCATCCAATATTGGAGTGCCTGGTTCCAGTTCTGGCTACCTCATTTCCGATCCAGCTTTCTGGATGCACCTGGGAAAGCAGCAAATGATGGCTTATTTACTTGTGTCCCTGTCACTCATGTGGAAGATCCAGATTAGAGTTCAGAGCTTCCTGCTTCAGCCCTACCCAGCACAGCTGTTGTGGGCATCTGGGGAATGAACAGACAGACAGAAGATCCCTCTGCCTCTCCTTCTCAGTCACTCTGACTAATAAATAAATAAATCTTTAAAAATACATATATTGGATGAAGTTCTACTTTTCTGAGAATTCTTACCATCAAGTTTCTTCCAAGAAGAGCCTGAAGAACTCCACTTTTCCCACAGTTTTTCATACCAATTACATTACATCTGAACACATTTCTTTGAGTCTGTTTCTTCTGCAGGTCGATCTTTTTATCTCTTGTTACTAAAAAGAAAGAAAAAACATTATGTACCACTTACACTCAATGAGCTTCCACTCTACCTTCTGTAAAGAGCATATTGCCATGTATCACATTTATCAAATATCTAATCTAGAACATACTGTAAAATATCAAATTGTTTGTGAAATACAGTGCTCAAGACAATGTAGAAGGCATCACTTGGTGGGAAAGATGTATTTCTGAAATCTGATGGTCAAAGGGATTTCCCTAACCTAATGATGCTTAATTTGTCTTAGAAGTAATATATCTGCATCAGGAAAATATAAAAAAATGAAAATTACAATGACTACAGCCAACATTGTAGCTAATATTTTCTGTAAAAAATTATTTTCATACTCGATTATAAACTAAAAGATGTCTTCTCAAATCTGTACTTCCCTGAAGTTGGGTCTATATGGGAAAAGAACATGTACTCTGGGGTCAACTGGCCTTTCAAAAGTAAATCTGGGGGTCGGCACTGTGGTGCAGTGGGTTAAGCTGCCACCTGTAGTGCAAGCATCTAACATGGGCACCGGTTTGAGTTCCACTTCTGATCTCCACTTCTGATCCAGCAAACTGCAAATGTGCCTGGGAAAGCAGTGGAAGATGGCCCAAGTGCTTGGGCCCCTGCACCCACATGGGGGATCCAGAAGAAGCTCCTGGCTCCTCACCAGATTGGCCCAGCTCTGTATACAGTGCCCATTTGGGGAGTGAATCAAAAAATAGCTCTCTCTCTGGCTGGTGCCATGGCTCACTAGGCTAATCCTCTGCCTGCGGAGCCGGGCAGGTTCCAGGTTCTAGTCCCAGTTGGAGCGCCGGATTCTGTACCGGTTGCTCCTCTTCCAGTCCAGCTCCTGCTATGGCCCGGGAGTACAGTGGAGGATGGCCCAAGTGCTTGGGCCCCTGCACCCGCATGGGAGACCAGGGGAAGCACCTGGCTCCTGGCTTCGGATCAGCACGGTGCGCCAGCCACAGCAGCCATTGGGGGGTGAACCAACGGAAAAAGGAAGACCTTTCTGTCTCTCTCTTTCACTGTCCAGTCTGCCTGTCCAAAAAAAAAAAAAAAATAGCTCTCTCTCTCTGCCTCTAGAGGCCTCTCCCTCATAACGCTGCCTTTCAAGTACATCTGTAAATGAAGCAGGCCAGGAAACAATGGTGCATCATTAGGACAACAGGGCATCTCTATGGTAAAGAAAGCTGAAGTTGTACTCAAAAATTCACTGTAATAGAGCTCATCAGAGGTACTACTGATAATAGTAGACAAAAAATACATAAAAATTATGATAGTTAATTTGTAGAACATCTATATAAAGGCATATTACTTAACATTAAGGTATATAAAAGTATTCCTATGGATATAAAAATATTTATAATATACTGTTGAATGAAAGAAACTCACAACTGGCTAGTAATTAATTTCTTACTCTCTGGTGGTCAATTAAATGCTAATGGGCTAAATACTTTAAAGCATACTTGCTCTGTAAATTTAAGAACAGCTGTCTTTTTGTGCTATGGGTTTTTTATGATATGGCAGATTTTCCAACAAATAAGACAAAAAACTGAAATGATCAGTTCCTTAATTTGTTATTTCCATATCTATGTGTTTTAATTGGGGTACACTGCTTGGCAAGAATGTCTGGTTTATACTACAAGATTTGTACAATATTTATTAATATGGGATAAGGTCACAAAGTTGACAGATGTATAATTAGTTTTCAGGACCAAGATCATGTGTTAATAGGCATTGTTTTTGATGTTTAAAAAAATTACAATGCAAGACAGATTGGTAAATCTTCTAATGCCCATAGCTCTCTCTCATTTTCATCAGTGCAACACCTCCACGAGTAAACCATTTTTTTTTTTTTTTTTTTTTTTTTTTTTTTTGACAGGCAGAGTGGACAGTGAGAGAGAGAGACAGAGAGAAAGGTCTTCCTTTGCCGTTGGTTCACCCTCCAATGGCCGCCGCGGCTGGCGCGCTGCGGCCGGCGCACCGCGCTGATCCGATGGCAGGAGCCAGGAGCCAGGTGCTTTTCCTGGTCTCCCATGGGGTGCAGGGCCCAAGCACCTGGGCCATCCTCCACTGCACTCCCTGGCCACAGCAGAGGGCTGGCCTGGAAGAGGGGCAACCGGGACAGAATCTGGCGCCCCGACCGGGACTAGAACCCGGTGTGCCGGCGCCGCTAGGCGGAGGATTAGCCTAGTGAGCCGCGGCGCCGGCGTAAACCAATATCAAAATCTTGATTCTTTTTGATTAACAATAGAATCAAGACTCTAAACCCAAATTAATAAATCACAAGAAAAAATAGTAATAGTATAGACATGAAAGATGACTGAAAATGAGTTTATTTTTATGCTTTGTTATATTTGAAACTGGAGCCTTAAAAAATGTTGCTAGGGACCGGTGTTGTGGAATAGTGGATTAAGCTACCACCTATGGCACTGGCATCCCTTATGGGTGCTGACTTGAGTTCTAGCTGCTCCACTTCCAATCCAGCTCCCTGCTAAAGCACCTGAGAAAGCATCAGAAGATGGTCCAGGTGCTTGGGCCCCTACACCCACATGAAAGACTGGAAGAGGCTCCTGGCTCAGGGCCGGTGCAGTGGCATAGTGGGTTGGGACACCACCAGCAGTGCCAGCATCCCATATGGGCGTTGGTTAAAGACCCAGCTGCTCCACTTCCCATCCAGCTCTCTGTTGTGGCCTAGAAAAGCAGTAGAAAATGGCCCAACTCCTTGGGCCCCTGCACCCACGTGGGAGACCTGGAAGAAGCTCCTGGCTCCTGGTTTCAGATATGCGCAGCTCCTGATACTGCGGCCAACTGGGGAGTTAAACAGTGAATGGAAGACCTCTCTCTCTGACTCTCCTTCTCCTTCTGTGTAAGTCTGACTTTCAAATAAATAAATAAATCTTTAAAAGAAAGTTAAAAAATTAAAAAAAAAAAAAAAAAAAAAAAAGGCTCCTGGCTTCGACCAGCCCAGCCCCACCCAGCCACTGCATCCATTTAGGAGTGAACCAGCAGATGGAGGACTTCTGTCTCCCCTCTCTCTGTAACTTTGCCTTTCAAATAAAATAAACATATTTTTAAAAATGTTTCTACTTATGAATGGAATAGTGTCCAGATACTAACCTGTAATGGCTGAAGCTTGAGACTCTTGTTCAGTCAATATTGAATAGCCCAAATAGCCCAAATACTCAAGGCACCGCTGTACATCTAAATAGGTTGTGAGCCTAGGAAATAGAGTTTAAATTAGAAAAACTTCCCAAATGAACACTAATAGAAAATAAAAATTCCAACAGCTCAGAAAGTTTTATTCACCCAACTCATATATTTTTGTCAGGTTGCTTTAATTTTCTATGTGCCAACCATGGCTTTTTGTAAAATGCATTCTTCAGGCAGAGAAGATGGGGAGGGGGATGTAAGATGGTGGGGGTTGGGTGAGGTGGGGGGAGTTCCTCTATCTACTCCAACTGCCAGAGAGAACAAGGACATACTGATGAGCAGTGGGTAGCTAGTGAAATCTAGAGAATGGGATATTTTATATTACCTGTTTCCCAAGTTAATGTACAGTGTCCTGCAAATATTGGTTAGTTGAGGGCATAATGATAAATAAATAAATTTGGAAAGATTTAACAAAGCACAAAAACAACTGAAAGACACCTGAAATTAGTTACATGCTTGAAAAAAAGAAAAGTCCCTAATGCTAAAGAAGTTAGTCTCACCACAGCTAAAGCAATTATGTCATCATACAGGACCACATGATTCCCTTAACACACTCATTACAAAGTTAACCACGCTATAACTAGGTTGTAGACAAATTCGTGCTAAATCTTACTAAAGGTTCTTTAAAAACAAGTAACAATGAAAAAATGCAAAGTAAGTCTCCAGTGTCATAAAATACAATATTGTGGAAGAAGAGTAACAACTATGCAACAAGCACGAAAGATCCAATTGCATTTATCAATCAAACACATGTACAGCTTATTACTGTTTTCCTGTATATCATGCAAAAGAAAATTATCTGTTCCTGATAACCTCAACAGTTCATCTTAGAGATATGAGCAGCTCCATAAACCCTGCTGAGAGGCAGCTATGACTGAAGCATTTCTTAAGATCAGTAAGGCTTACAATGTATCTATTGTAATACATCATGATTTTAAACTAATTGTAACTCTAGAAGAAAGAGGTGAGCTGCATACTCACGTCCATTGTGAAAGGAATCCCTGGTAGGTTATCCAGCCTCTTTCATTCGTACAAACTGTGTTATTCACGTCTGGCCCCCACGGTATGTAAGGGAAAACTTTAAATAAATCTTTAAGCTCATCGGGTGACAAAGCACAGTCCCTATCCTGAAGACACACAAGGAAGAACATATAATACTTACATACAAGGAAGAACAAAATGCAACACAATATTTACATCTAAGAGAATAACTCCCAAATACAAAAGCCCCAAACCCATGCTTCTAAAACCTAATTACAAATGACAAATTATAAAAGTTTGCATTTTAGCAAGAAAATTCCTCACACATTTGTAGGAAAAACTAAAAAAGAAATCTATCAGAAACTAGACTATTTTCATCTTGAAAAAAATAATAAAAGTAAAAAAATATTTTTGCTAACTTAAGTTACAGAACTTTGGCAGTTTTAGGCTATATGAAATAAACACTCTATTGCTAAGAAGGTTAAGTCACTCATAGAAAAATATTCTATCACATATCAGGCAAAACTGCAGTTAAAAGCTTACCAAATCATGCTTGTCAAAGGTGCTTTGGAGAAACAAATATGCATGATGATTTAATTCAGTAGTGCAATCAGGAGGTATTTTTAGCCTATTTATGAAAAAGTTTAAGAAAAAAATAAATGATTAGTCAAATATAAAAATCTAAGAAGTGAATATAAAACTGCCGCAAGCCTCTTTGTGGGATGACATCATTTACAAAAATGACTTCACTGGGGCCACTGAGACTCCCAGGCAAGCCTTTGGAGTGGTTATGGCACTGCTCAGAAGATCGTAACAACACTCATTCCAAAGTGACACATAAAGTTTTCTTAAATCAGAAAGACAGGTTGAAATAAAAATTGTATAAATAATACTTATTAAACTGTATGAGTCTGTTTTTCCTATAAACACATTGTAAGTCGCAATTACGGCCTTTATCTAATGGCAATATTATAGTGAGTTGAAAGCAATGTGAAGAGATACTGTTTCTGCCTAATTTGATCTTTTTATCCACCCTAAATTCAGTTCAGTAATTATTAATCAAGTATATTGAGCTAGGTGCTGTGGGAACAAAAACAAGACATGTTTCAGCCTTTGTAAGGAGCCACATTCAAGCTAGTGGTGGGCCTCGAACTGATCTGAACAGAAGAAGGCAAGTGCCAAGACCCTAGAGGAGCCCGCAGGGAAGAGGACGCCTCTGGCCTGAGGGGGACGTGAAGGACAAGCGGCATTAATAAGCCAGGGGCAACAATGAGAACAGCATGGGGGAAAGCCTGAAGAAAGAAAAACGCATGTTTGCTGGGCTATAAATAGTTTGGTATTTACTTCTAAAATGAGGGGGGGGGGGCAACAGCTGCATGAGTGACCACATATACCGTGCTAAGAAGCCTGGGCTTTATCCTCTGTCTTGAAGACAAGTGACATGGCCAAATTTGTATTTCATACCTACTAATCGAGCAGCAGTGGAGCTGAGAGGTTAGTAAGAAAGCCAGAGAGATGCAAGAAGTGGCTCTAGGGAGCTATTTTTCAGAAAATTAAAGGTAGAGAGCACAAAGAAACTCAAAGAGATGTTAGCCACAAAGCTGTAACTGACAGAGTTTCTAACTCTCACACTTAAGAAACCAATAAACAACCTCCTAGGGAATTTAACTGCCCATGTAAATGGCACAGAACACTCAATGAAAGGGTCTCAGGCCAAATTCATTAATTCACTATATATTTATGGAAAATTCTGGGAAATTCACTTGAAGTAATTAGATAAGGCAAGTTTGAAGTCAGAACTGATGAATGGACCAGGAATCCAGTCAGAAAGAGTTCGCTTCCTAGGGCCAGCGCTGTGGTGCAGCGGATTAAAGCCCCAGCCTGCAGCACCGGCATCCCATATGGGCGCCAGTTTGAGTCCCGGCTGTTCCTCTTCCGATCCAGCTCTCTGCTATGGCCTGGGAAAGCAGTAGAAGATGGCCCAAGTGCTTGGGCCCCTGCACCCATGTGGGAGACCCGGAAGAAGCTCCTGGCTCCTGGCTTTGGATCAACTCAGCTCTGGCTGTTGCAGTCATTTGGGGAATGAACCAGTGAATGGAAGATCTCTCTCTTTCTATCTCTACCTCTCTCTATAACTCTGTCTTTCAAATAAATAAAATAAATCTTTAAACAAAATAAATAAATAAATTAAAGTGCAATCAGGGCTGGTGTCATGGTGCAGCAGCTTAAGCTGCCATCTTCAATGCCAACATCCCATATGAGCACCAGTTTGAGTCTTGGCTGCTCCACTTCCAATCCAACTCCCTGCTTATGTGCCTGGGAAAGCAGCAGAGGATGGCTCAAGGGCTTGGGCTGCTGCTCTCATGTGGGAGACATGGATAAAGCCCCTAGCTTTTGGCTTCAGCCTGGCCATTGCAGCCATCTGGAGAGTGAACCAGTGGATGGAAGACTGATCTCTCTCTCCCTTTCTTCCTCTCTCTTTGTAACTCTGCTTTTCAAATAAATAAAATAAATATTTTTAAAAAATATACAAGCATTGGGCTGGCACCACGGCTCAATAGGCTAATCCTCCGCCTGCGGCACCGGCACACCGGGTTTTAGTCCCAGCCGGGGTGCCGGATTCTGTTCCTGTTGCCCCTCTTCCAGGCCAGCTCTCTGCTGTGTCCCGGGAGGGCAGTGGAGAATGGCCCAAGTCCTTGGGCCCTGCACCCACATGGGAGACCAGGAGAGGCACCTGGTTCCTGGCTTCAGATCAGCGCAATGCCCCGGCTGCAGTGCGCCGGCCGCGGTGGCCATTGGAGGGTGAACCAACAGCAAAAGGAAGACCTTTCTCTCTGTCTTCCTCTCTCTCACTGTCTACTCTGCCTGTCAAAAAAAAATATATATATACAAGCATTATATGTTAATAAAAAGTATGTGTGTGTGTGTGTGTTTCTTGTTATCTCTGAAAAGCCAACTTTCTTCGACCACAGAAGAAAAAACCTGAGACAAAGCAGTCTCCTATTTAGGGGTGGCACTGGGTTCATTTTTATACAAACAGAACCTAAACATAAATATTATCAAAGGAAAATAACCAAAAAGAGACCAGTTGTTTAGGAAAAACAATTTATCCTGAGCTAATAAGAGGCTTTGTAGAGAAGACCTGATAAGAGTAAAGAAAAATGCCTACCAACATATCTCTGATCTCCTAACCACAAAACCAAGATCGTCTAGCATGTTTTTCCCTCCTCCCTCGAATAAGAAAGTATATTCCTGCGTAATCTCAATGAGAAGAGGGAAAGTTTGAGCCATGCTATAAATCACTGGCTGTCAACTGGTGACAATTTTGCTCCTGAGGGGATATGAGGCAACTTCCGGAGACATTTTTGGTTGTCAAAACTGGGGGAGGAAGTGTCACTGGCATCGAAGGATGGTCTAAATACCCTATAATGCACAGGACAGGTGCTACAACACAGAATTATCTGATCTAAAATTTCCATAGTACCAAGGTTGAGAAATCTTGCTACAAACCCGTTTTAATTCTAAATTATTCCTGAGTAGCTTGAGGCCTACCTATTTATGAGCTAAATCATACTTAAAAAGAATTGCCAAGGAAATCAATTAGAAAACCAAAGGTACATACAGGGGGAATAAATACTCAGGTGTCAAATCCAGATCATCGTCATAACCAAATCGTCGAAGCACAGTCCAAGTAGTTTCATGTCTCCCTCTCTGGATAAAAAGTGTGTGTAAAAAGAGAAAACCTGAAATAAAGTCAGTTGGTAAATACAACTGATAGGAAGAAGGGTACCGAATCACATGGGGGAAAAGCATACAACACACAATGGCAGGAGCCAAATTTGTGAACATACATATACTATTTTTGCATAGCTAAGGTCAAAATAAAATTCTCAAGTGTCTCAATGAAACACAGCTCATTTTAGAGCAGTTTCACATACACACCATGTTCCACAAGGGAAAGCAGTGGATGAGGCCAAAATTACATCTCAAGGAATACAATCACCTTCACAAAGTTGCCTGAGATAAGCACAGAAAAATGTTTTACAGAGGCCAGCACTGTGGTGTACCAGGTACACCATAGGGTACATCCCATATGGCTGCCGGTTCGAGTTCTGGCCACTCTACTTCCAGTCCAGCTCCCTGTTAATGGTCTGAGAAAGCAGTAAAGGATGGTCCTAGTGCTTGGGCCCCTGTACCCATGTGGGAGACCTGGAGGAGGCTCCTGGTTCCTGGTGCTGGCTTGAGATCAGTCCAGCTGTTGTGGCCATTTGGGAAGTGAGCCAGCAGCTAGAAGATCTTGTGTTCGCTCTCTGCCTCTCTCCTTCTCTCTCTCTCTCTGTAACTCTACCTTTCAAATAAATAAATAAATCTTAAAAAAAAGTTTCACAGATCTTTTATTTCTATAATGGAAAAATTCTGCTTTTCAATTTCACTTTTTATTTTACTATGGCTCTACATAAGGGTATTTCGAAAAGGTCATGATAAAATATGCAAACACTACACGTGGATCGTAAAAAAAAATGTTTTCTAACTTTTAAATATAAATTTCCAAAGTACAGTTTATGGATTACAATGGCTTTTCCTCCCCATAACTCCCCTCCCACCTGCAACCCTCCCATCTCCCGCTCCCTCTCCCATTCCATTCGCATCAATATTCATTTTCAATTCTCTTTATATATAAAAGATCAATTTAGTATATATTAAGTAAAGATTTCAACAGTTTGCACCCACACAGAAACACAAAGTGTAAAATACTGTTTGAGTACTAGTTATAGCATTAATTCACATTGTACAACACATTAAGGACAGAGATTCTACATGAGGAGTAAGTGCACAGTCACTCCTGTTGTTGACTTAACAATTGACACTCTTGTTTATGGTGTCAGTAATCACCTTATGGTCTTGTCATGAGTTGCCAAGGCTATGGAAGCCTTTTGAGTTCGCCAACTCTGATCTTATTTAGACAAGGTCGTAGTCAGAGTGGAAGTTCTCTCCTCCCTTCAGAGAAAGGTACCTCCTTCTTTGATGGCCCATTCTTTCCGGTGGGATCTCACTCACAGAGATCTTTCATTTAGGTTTTGTTTGTTTGTTTGTTTGTTTTTGCCAGAGTATCTTGGCTTTTCATGCCTAAAATACTCTCATGGGCTCTTCAGCCAGATCCAAATGCCTTCAGGGCTAATTCTGAGGCCAGAATTTTGCACCAAAATTATCTTTTTAATGCTATTGCCAGAAATTTTTTGAAGTATCCTTATATATTCAATGAGAACATTCTATATTTGGTAAATTTAACTTGTAGACAAAATTCCCTAGACATAATTTTTATTTAAAGGCTGCTTACGGGCAGGAAGAATTTTAATATAAATTTGTTCCACATATCTCTTTCCCTCAGGTGGATCTACATCTCTGAGATCCAACCAATTTCCTTACCTCAAATTAATTCTGACAGTAATAGGATAATCCCCACCAATGGCTTATTTCCTACAACTGTTAAAGATCCAAGTCAAATTTTAGGTGTAATAGTAAATACTAGGATTTCCTGAAGTATGAATAATTCTATAAAGACTTTCAGCTGCTGCCAAATTTTGAAAATGCTAAGTTCAAAAATGGGGGAAAACACCATTCTCTCACCTTTGAGGGTCAATCCACTGTCAGCCACACCATCACTTATATGTTTTCTGACTACATTCTTGACATCTTCCAGTGCTTGAGGAGCTAATGGAGTGTTGAAACAAATTCTCTAACAAAAAAAAAAAAAAAGTTTAAAAACACACTAGCATCAAAACCCCAGATAATATAAAACAGTGTACAAAGCAACATAAAAAGGAAAGGTTGCAATAAAAAGATAAAATCTAAATTAGGATAGTCTGCACTTTGTATTAATTCAGCCTTCAAGTCATCCTTAATATACTCATTGTATATCATGAAATGAAGCTATCAGAGTTCCCTCAATTCTTAGACTTACATCACTTGATGTGAAAGACAGTGTTTATATGAAGAGATAAGAGATACACGTTTCTCAAAGTGCTGCTTAAGCTAGTACACTTTCCATAGTTTTTATCAACAAAGGAAGACAAAGATCTGCCATCACCTGAAACAAAATACAGCTACCTGAAAGAAGTTGAGTTCAGCATCATTCAGAGTGCCGTCGTTATCCTGATCAGATATTTTAAATATACGAGTAAGGGCTTTTATGCAGGCTGGTTTCATCTGTAAATCATTTAAAAAAAAACACACAAATAACTGGCTGAATTAAAATACGATTTTAAAACACGATTTTCATAAGTAATGCTGGGAATAATTCTGATTGTTTTCACATAACATCAAATACAACCAACAAGAAAAATGATCTAAAGTAAAGCCATTTGCTTTTATACTAAAGCCTTTTTAAGTAAATGAGGCAATATTTATTTGGACTGATACCCGAAAATGATCAAACCCTCTTCTCATGACTCTTAGGATAAAAAGGAACTTCATCTCGAGGAGAGATTCATGCTTTCAGTTACACAAAAAAATAACTATTTGTTTATTTATATCCTCCTCCTCATTCCATAAAGAATTTGAGCTGACTTACTTAAAGCACTAAGAGCTTTCCTCCCCAGCTTCTGAATATGGCCAAAGACTTTCTGGTAACAGTTTTTATCTGTGCTAATTCACAAACAGATGGTAAAATATCACTGGTTATTAGATGTAAAGGACATTTACTAACTTCTTATTTTAAGCATTATTTACAATAAACAAAAAGACCCTGACTTTTGTGACTGTAAAACTTTTGGAAGTAATACTGCTGGAAATATATTTTGACAGTTCCCTTAATTTTTGTCCTAGAATTTAGATTGGGTAGAATAATTGTTTGACTGTTTAAAAATAAGGCCCACATGCTTCTAGTCTGTATAATTAGTATACATACAGTAAATACTGTCAATAACTCTGAGAAGAAAATGAAACTTTCAGGAAGACCTTTGAACTTTGTTTAAACTCAGAAACGTATTTCTTGTAAAGCCATCAGAATCAGAGAGATGAGATGGCAAGGTGAAGAAATGTACACTTGTTAGCTTATGACCTGAGTCATATAGCTACCCCAAGCAAAATGGTAAGGATGACAGCATTGATCATGCTATCAAGTTCAAACACAGAAAATAAATTACTTAAAAAGGAGGAAAGTAGGGGTGGACCCTGTAGTGCAGCAAGTTAAGCTACCATTTTTGACACCCCTGTCCCTTGTCAGGGTGCCTGCTTCAAGTCCTGGCTACTCTGTTTCCAATCCAACTGCATGGCAGGCAGCAGATGATGGCCCATGTGTTTGAGTTCCTACCACCCACGTGGGAGACCAGGATGGGAGTTCTTGGCTCCTGGATACAGCCTGGAACAGCCTTTGCTGTCATGGACGTTTGGAAAGTAAGCCAGTGGATAGGAGAATGCTATCTCTATACCTCTCCTCTCTGTCATTCTGCCTTTCAAATAAATAAATCTTTTTAAAATTATGAAAGCATTATCATCTAAATATATACAGATAACTATCTTTTTTGTTATTTTAAACAGGGTCTCTCCAAGAGCAATTTGATGTAGTGAGAAAAAGACAACACCTAAAATATAAAGATATTAGAGAGAAATGAGAAAGTAAGCCAAGCACTGGGTTGGGCTTCCTTTGTAAGAGTACTAATCAACTCTATATAATCTATAACAGTTACTATCATGAGTGACTTAGTTTTTATTTTACTTTATTTTTAAATGTTTGCTGTTTTTCATCTACTTGAAAGGCAGAGTAAGAGCAAGAGAGCAAAAGAGTGAGCAAGAGAGAGAGATCTTTCATGCTGGTTCACTCCCCAAATGCATGCAACACTAGAGCTAGATAGGGCTAAAACCAGGAGCCAGGAACTCCGTTCATGTCTCCCACATGGTAAAAAAGAGTCCAACCACTTGAGCCATCATCTACCCTCTCCCAGGGTGTACATTAGCAGGAAGCTGGACTGGAAGCAGAGTAGCCAGGTCTTAGACTGGTACCCAATATGGGATGTGAGTGTCACAAGTGGTAGCTTAACCTGTTGCCCACAACACCTGCCCCTGAGGACTTATTTTTTTAATAATCTATGGTAAGATACTGCCTCTAGAAATGTGATCCTTCTATTATAGATTCAAGATTAATAAGGATTAAATTGTTTTAAAAAATGCTATAGAACATCTAAATATTTCCAAAAGTAACAGCAGTTAGAATGATACACTAGGGGCTGGTGCTGTAGTGCAGTGGGCTAACGCCCTGGCCTGAAATGCCAGAATCCCATATGGGCGCCAGTTCACATCCCGGCTGCTCCACTTCCTATCCAGCTCTCTGATGTGGCCTGGTAAAGCAGTGGAGGATGAGCCAAATCCTTGGGCCCTTGCACCCACGTGGGAGACCCAGAAGAAACTCCTGGCTCCTGGCTTCGGTTCGGTGCAGCTCCAGCCATTGCAGCCAATTGGGGAGTGAACCAGTGGATGGAAGACCTCTCTCTCTCCTCTCTGCCTCTCCTTCTCTCCCTGTGTAACTTTTTCAAGTAAATAAATAAACCTTTAAAAAAATGATATCCTAAACAGAACCCAAAAATAAAATTTTTGGGGGGTAAGTGATTTTCGTTACATGAAAAAATAGTACTTTGTAGGGGTATTAGGCACAAAGTCTAATATGTTGCCTGGGATGCCTGCATCTCCTATCAGTGCTGACGATCCAGCCCTGGCCCTGTACCTGATTCAACTTCCTGCTAATGTGCACCCTGGGAGGCAGCAAAGCTGGCTCAAGGGGCTGAGTCCCTGCCACCCATGTGGAAGACCCAAACTGAGTTCCTGGCTTCTGGCTTCAGCCTGGCCCAGATACAAAAGTTGTAGGCATACAAGGAATAAACCGGGAGATGGGAGATTTTTTTCTCTCTCTCTTTTGGTCTCTAAAATAAGTAAATAATTTTAAAGTAATCATATAAAGATAAATGGTGATGGAGCCAGTGCTGTGGTGCAGCGGGTTAAAACCCTGGCCTGCAGCACCAGCATCCGATATGGATGCCGGTTCTAGTCCCAGCTGCTCCTCTTCTGATCCAGCTCTCTGCTACAGCCTGGGAAAGCAGTGGAAGATGGCTCAAGTCCTTGGGCCCCTGCACACATGTGGGAGACCCAGAAGAAGCTCCTGGCTCCTGGCTTCAGATCAGCCCAGCTCCGGTTGTTGCAGCCATCTAGGGAGTGAACCAGCAGATAGAAGACCCCTCTCTCTCTCTCTCTCTACCTCTGTAACTCTTTCAAATAAAATAAATCTTTAAAAAAAATAAAGATAAATGGTGACATATTATTCATTAAATTTGAAAATGCATCAGAAGCTAAATTGCTCTAAGGTATTTGGTTAAATACCGAATATTTAAATACTTATCACCTTAACATACAACACCAAAAAATGACTACTTTCTTTTTTTTTTATAGAGAGAGAGACAGAGAGAAAAGTCTTCTTCCATTGGTTCACCCCTCAAATGGGCGCCACAGCCGGCGTGTTGCACCAATCCGAAGCGAGGAGCCAGGTGCTTCCTCCTGGTCTCCCACGCGGGTGCAGGGAAAGTAGTCATTTTATGCCGGTGCCACGGCTCACTTGGCTAATCTTCCACCTGCGGCGCCAGCACCCCAAGTTCTAGTCCCAGTTAGGGCACCAGATTCTGTACCGGTTGCTCCTCTTCCAGTCCAGCTCTCTGCTGTGGCCCTGGAAGGCAGTGGACGATGGCCCAAGTGCTTGGGCCCTGCACCTGCATGGGAGACCAGGAGGAAGCACCTGGCTCCTGGCTTTGGATCAGCGCAGTGCACCGGCCATGGCGCCCATCTGGAGGGTGAATCAACGAAAGGAAGACCTTTCTCTCTGTCGCTCTCTCACTGTCTAACTCTGCCTGTCAAAAAAAATTATATCTCAACAAAGTAGGAAATTTTAATACTACTAAATTAAAATATTTTGTATTTGAGTCATTTAAACCCTCCCATAAACATTCTGAGAATTTTCTTTGTTTGGCAAACTGAGAATAATGTGGGTCACACAGAATGACTCATCACTGGAAACACATTTACAGCTCAGGTTCTACTGCTGTAGAAATCAACTACTCTGGTATAAGCTTAGACTCCAAGCTTGTACATGTCTAAAACAAAATACAGTCTGAAAGTCGAAAACATCACAATCAGGCAGGACCACTCAAGAAATGAACAACAGATGGTAGAAGGTGTCTTACTCTTGTGGGACTGGGGGAGGGGCCGGGGGATTAGCAGATTAGCAGAACTAATAATAGGTCTGAGAACAAAACAGCAATTAAAGAATTGAGAGCAAACTAATAGAGGGATTTAGTGCGCCACTAATTATGCCTCAGAGGTAACCTCTGTAACATGAGATTATAATCCAAATTTCATAAAATCTATCGACAGAATCAGAATAGAATTTTTTTTTTTTTTGTTAACAAATACACTAGGGGCAGGCACTGTGGCACAGTGGGTTAACGCCCTGGCCTGAATCGCTGGCATCCCATATGGGCACTGGTTCAAGAACCAGCTGCTCCACTTCCCATCCAGCTCTCTGCTATGGCCTGAGAAAGCAGTGGAAGATGGCCCAAGTCCTTGGGTCCCTACACCTCTGTGGGAGACCCCGAAGAAACTCCTGGCTCCTGGCACAGTTCCAGCTGTTTCGGCCAATTCGGGAGTGAACCATCAGATGGAAGATCTCGTGCTCTCTCTCTCTCTCTGCCTCAGTTCTCTCTGTGTAATTCTGACTTTCAAATAAATAAATAAATATTTTAAAAATACTAAGTGGCTGTTATTATTAGACAAGTCTGGGAAATACTAAAAGTTAGAAACAAGGACGCAATTAAGGAATAGTAAATCAGGAATAAGGAAGAGCAAACCAGAGTCAGAATTAGGAATTACTCAGATAATTTACTTATGCCAAGGGTTGGCACTATTTTTTGAAAAGATCCACATAGTAAATATATTAGGCTTTGGGACTAGCAGGCAAAATTCAGGATATCATGTAGGTATTAAATAGCAAGGTGAAATCAAATTTCCACAAAATTCTATTAATGAAATTCAAAATATAACAATAAATCAGGATAATTTTGCTATACAGAGATATAAAAGGGAAGAATGAAATTCTTTTTGGAGTGATATTTTGCTTAACTGGAATTCAACATTAGTGCTCACTAACAATGGTCACATATTTGCAATGGTCATTGCAAATGATCACATATTAATGCTCATCTGTAATGAAGTTTTACATGTTTTGAAAATGTCTTTTTTGCACAAATACATGTGTATACGTTCAATTCTGATACACATCCACAAATGTGATTTCAGCTGAGCAAGTTCATAACCTGGAAGGCATTTATAGAAGTACATTAGATTCTTTGTTAGCATGTCACTACAGTGCAGATTAATCAGGTTTTTTTGTTTGTTTGTTTTTTGGACAGGCAGAGTTAGAGAGAGAGAGAGAGAAAGGTCTTCCTTCCGTTGGTTCACCCCCCCAAATGGCCGCTGCAGCCGGCGCGCTGTGCCGATCCGAAGCCAGGAGCCAGGTGCTTCCTCCTGGTCTCCCACGTGGGTGCAAGCGCCCAGGCACTTGGGCCATCCTCCACTGCCCTCCCGGGCCACAGCAGAGAGCTGGACTGGAAGAGGAGCAACCGGGACTAGAATCCGGCGACCATATGGGATGCCGGTGCTGCAGGGGGAAGATTAACCAAGTGAGCCACGGCACCTGCCCTCTTTTCTTATTTTGGCATGAAGGTGCGTGCTGATAACAAATCATCAATGGCACAGGGATACCCGTGGTACCTGGAATGCTATCAAGTCCTAGCTGTCAGTGTAACCAGAAAGTACACTGAGCAGAAATGAGAAGTGATGAGAATACAACACAGGAGCTCTGCTGAAGTTACTCAAGTCTGCCTTTGCAGCAGAAAGCAGCCATAGACAAAACATAAACAAATGAGCATATCTATGTAATCATAAAATTCTATTTATGGCATGATGATGTTTATAAAATTTAAATGCAATTTTCACACATCACAAAATAGTATTCACTTTTTACCAATCATTCAGAAAATATAAAATGTAATTTAGGTATTCATAGGCTGTACCAAAACAGGCCAAATTCAATTCATAGGTCACCATTTTCCAAACACTGTCCAATAACCATAATTTTTTCCTGAAATTAATGTGCAACTTATTTCTTAAAAACAACGCCTCAGGGCAGGCACTGTGGTGTAGTGGGTTAAGCACCCACCTGCAACACCATTGTCCCATGTGGGCACTGCTTTGAGACCCAGCTGTTCTACTTCTAATCTAGCTCTCTCCTGATGGTCTGGGAAAGCAGAAATGGCCCCAGTGCTTGGGCCACTGCACCCATGTGGGAGACTCAGAGAAGTTCTTGGCTCCTGGCTTCAGATCGTCTTAGTTCCAGCTGTTGCAGCCATCTGGGGAGTGAACCAGTGGTTGGAAGACCTCTCTCTCTGTCTCTCCCTTTCTCTCTAACACCGCCTCTCAAGTAAATAAATAAATCTTTTTAAAAAAAATACTACTTCAATCATAAAAAGATAAACAACCGAAGTGAAACATGGGCAAATGATTTTGAATAAACATTCCTCCAAAGAAGATAAACAAGGGGGCCGGTGCTGTGGCTCACCGGCTAATGCTCTGCCTGTGGCGCCGGCATCCCATATGGGCGCCAGGTTCTAGTCCTGGTTGCTCCTCTTCCAGTCCAGCTCTCTGCTGTGGCCCAGGAAGGCAGTGGAGGATGGCCCAAGTGTTTGGACTCCTGCACCCACATGGGAGACCAGGAGGAAGCACCTGGCTCCTGGCTTCGGACTGGTGCAGTGCCAGCCGTAGCAGCCATTTGGGGAGTGAACCAACGGAAGGAAGACCTTTATCTCTGTCTCTCTCTCACACTGTCTATAACTCTACCTGTCAAATTATAAAAAAAGAAGATAAACAAATGGCCAAAAAAAAAAAGATGAAAAAAAGTAACATCAATAGCCATAAGGGAAATGCAAATCAAAACCACAATGAGATAGCAACAACAAACAAAAAAAAACTAAGTAAAACAGGGTTGGGTATTGTTGAGCAGTGGGTTAAACTGCCACTCGAGACACCCAAGTGCCTGGGGTGTAGCAAACCATGGGTACTTGGGTTCCTGGCACCCTTGTGTGAGACCTTGATGGTGCTCCTTACTCCTGGCCTAACCCCAGCTACTAAAGCATTAAGGAGATGAACAAGCAGATGGAGGATCTCTCTCTCTCCCTCTCCCTTTTCTCTGTCACTCTGCCTTTTAAATAAATAAACCTTTTTTTAAAAAAAGTTAATAAAGATTAGTGAAGATATGGAGAAATTGAAACCCTCATACATTGCTGGTGGAAACATAAAGTGGTCCAGTAACTGAGGAAAATAGCTTACTGGTTCCTCAATAAGTTAAAGATAGAATTATCAGGTGACTCAGCAGTTCTCCAAAATATACAGTGAAAAGAACTGAAAGCCAGCATTCCAACAAAAAATCTGCAAGTGAACAAAGTAGACTATTCCTAATAGTCAAAGAATGGAAACAATCCAAATGTACATTAGCTGATGGGGAGATAAAAAAAAAGTGTGGCACATCCAGGGTGGGGCATTATTCAGAAATAAAATACTGACACATTCTATAACATGGATGTATCTTGAAAAGATTATGTCACGTGAAAAAGACCAGAAACAAAATGCCAAATGACTCTACTCTTGTGAAATGTCCAGAAGAGGCAAAGCCATAGAGAAAGAAAGTAGATTTGTGATTGCCACAAGAGAAAGTGCACAGGGAGTGACAGCAAATAGGTGTTGGGTTCCTTTTTGGACAATGAAATGTTCTACAATTACATAGTGATTTTGCATAACCTAGTGAATATACTCAAAAAATTGATGGGTGAGTTATATGGTAAGTGAGGCATTTCTTAAAAAATTTCATTAGTTTTTTCAAAGTTTATGGCAAAATACTGTTAATTTTTTATATTTCAGTGAGTATTCAAATTGTTACATGTTGCATACATGTTAAAAAATTACTTAATTTTTGTTCAAATGTGTTTTTTAAAAACAACTTTTATTTTTTACTTATTTTATCTAGTCTTAAGGGGGAGAGAAAAGGAGAGATCTTCCACCCTACCTAAGTTTTTAAGGTCACAGATTTTACAACAGCACCATAAGCAGACATTTATCCAAGTGTTTGGACCTTTTTAGTTTGTTATTGCCAATTACTCTATTTGTTTAAAGGTACTTCTTGAAATAGTATTTGATCTGGAAAATATTCTGAATATTTAATCTAAATATTACTGAAGAAAAATACCTAGATAAGGTACAATAAGCAACAAATCTACATGTTGGCTATTTCATCTTTATAAAAATACTTTAGATGGGGCTGACACAGTGGCATAGTGGGTAAAGCCACCTGCGGTGCCAGCATCCCTTGGGCACCGGTTCAAGTCCCAGCTGCTCCATTTCTGACCTGGCTCTCTACTGTGGCCTGGAAAAGCAGTGGAAGATGGCCCAAGTTCTTGGGCCCCTGCACCCATAGGGAGACCTGAAGAAGCTCCTGGCTCCTGGCTTTGGATCAGCAAAGCTCTGGCCATTGCAGCCTACTGGGGAGTGAACCAGTGGATGGAAGATCTCTCTCTCTCTCTCTGCCTCTCCTTCTCTCTCTGTGTAACTCTGACTTTCAAGTAAATAAATAAATCTAAAAAAAAAAAAAACTGAAGAGACACTAAAACTCACTACTAAACAAGAGTTGCTTCTTATACATTCATATAAACACAGCGCGGGGGGTTACCTCTTTCTCCTCTGGACAGTACAAGGGCCCTGTTGGATGAAGAACAGCTTTCTGTGCATAATAAAAGAGCTCGGATATGTTCTTCAGGTTTTTTGCTGAACACTGAAAAAAAAATTTTCATCTATTTAAACTCTTGAGATTAATTTTGAGAGCTAAAAGGAATTTTTCAAATGAAAACATATGGTAACAATATAATTCCCTGAAAAAAATGAAAACATGGGGGAGGTGCTGTGGCAGAGCGGGTAAAGCCACCATCTGCTGTGCCAGCATCCCCATATGGGCACCTGTTCAAGTCCTGGCTGCTCCACTTCCCATCCAGCTCTCTGCTATAGCCTGGGAAAGCAGTGGAAGATGGCCCAAATCATTGGGCCCATGCACATGGATGGGAGACTCAGAAGAAGCTTCTGGCTCCTGGCTTCAGATCAGCCCAGCTCCGGCATTGCAGCCATTTGGAGAGTGAATCTGCAGATAGAAGACCTCTCTCTGCCTCTGCCCCTCTGTAACCCTGCCTTTCAAATAAATAAATAAATCTGTAAAAAAAATGAAAATGTATTTTTCTTTGTGGACATCATAATATAAATGTCCATAAACAGCTCAGAGACCAACTCCAAATTCTCTATTTGGTGTACATGATATTATTTCACAACAAACAGGAAAATTATTCCATCCCACATAATCCCCCACCGGCTCTGAACTTCAACTGAGTGAGAATTTACCAACAATAAATTTCCAAATCAAATAATGAGGCCTACCTCCACACAGGTTTCTATTTCTGTGTACTGATTCATAATAGGAAGGATGGTCTCCATACTACTATATTCCACCAGATCAGATTTGTTCCCAACCAAGATCAAAGGCAGCCTGTAATATATATGGCACATTGTAATAAGGAAGACAAAAGACATTAGGTTTGCATTTTAATATACATTATACCCATCTTAACTAAAAAGATTTTATTTAATCTTCCCAACATAAACCTCCTACTACAGCCAGGCCAACCCCCCTAGATAGGAGGTTCCTTCATTCATTCAAACTACTAACTGAGCAACTATTATCAGCCACATAGTCTTCCAAGCATAAAAGACACAGAACAAAGATAGTTCCTCCCCATTCTATAGTGAAAAATGGAAAATGAATAATAAGCAAGTAAATAATTTCTAATTTGATAAGTGGTGTGAAGCAAATAGGAGGGCATGAGATAGAGTAATAGGTGGGAGCTGATTACATACAGTCACCAGTGGGAAATCTCTCTGAGTGTGACATCTGAGCCAAGGAGAGAAGTATAGGATGGAATCTGCCATGGGAACAGCTAGGGAAAGCTGGCCAGGAAGAAGGGACAGAGGTCTCTAACTGAAGAAAAATCCTGGTGTGGTCAAAGAACAGGAAACACCAGAATGGCTGGAGAGTGTAGAGCACAGGGAAAGAGTATGAAACAGGATTGGAGCGATGATCAAAGGCCAGACACGCAAGGTCATATAAGTTGTAGTAAAGAGCGTGAATTCTGTTGTTAGTGTAAAACGTGAAGTCAATGGGGCTGGCCCTGTGGCGCAGCGGGTAAAAGCCCTGGCCTGAAGCTCCAGAATCCCATATGGGTGCCGGTTCTGGTCTCAGCTGCTCCTCTTCCAATCCAGCTCTCTGCTGTGGCCTGGGATAGCAGTGGAAGATGGCCCAAGTCCTTGGGCCCCTGCACCCACGTGGGAGACCCGGAGGAGGCTCCTGGCTCCTGGCTTCGGATCGGCGCAGCTTTGGCCATTGCGGCCACTTGGGGAGTGAACCAGCGGATGGAAGACCTCTCTCTCTGTCTCTACCTCTCTCTGTAACTCTGTCATTCAAATAAATAAAATAAATCTTTAAAAAAAAATTTAGTCACTGAAGGGTTAGAAGCAAGAAAATGACATGATCTTATTAACCTTTTAAAAGGTAGTGATTTGTTACCTTTGAGAGACACATGATGAAATATTATACCATACTATGTTTGTTTGCCTCAAAATGATCCCGTTGGGAGGGGCAAGAGATGAAAACAGAATGGCCGACAGTTGATAATTGTTGAAGCTGGTTGACAAATACACGAGGTTCTTTACCCTATTCTCTGTATATGTTTAATTTTTTTATTGTCCTTTTTTTAATTTGGTGACATGGTTTATAGTAATGACAGTGAAGATGAAGAAGAAATCCTCAGATTTAAGACATATTTTAGAAGTACAACTTGGGGAGGGAGCTGTGGTGTAGCAGGTAAAGCCACTGCCTGCAGTGCTGGCATCCCATATGGGTGCCAGTTTGAATCCCAGCTGCTCCACCTCCAATCCAGCTCTCTGCTATGGCCTGGCAAAGCAGTGGAGGAAGGCTCAAGTCCTTGGGCCCCTGTACCCGCGTGGGAGACTCAGGAAGCTCCTGGCTCTTGGCTTCGGATCGGTGCAGCCAAGTGGGGAGTGAACCAGTGGGTGGAAGACCTCTCTCTCTTTCTGCCTCTCCTTCTCTATGTGACTCTTACTTTCAAATAAATAAGTAAATCTTTAAAAAAAAAAAAAAAGAAGAAGAAGAAGAAGAAGAAGTACAACTAGAAGGGGCCACAGTTGTGGTGCAGCAGCTTGCAACATCAGCATCCTATATCACAATGCTGCTTTGAGTGATGGCTACTTTACTTCTGACCCAGCTTCCTGTCAGTGCACCTGAGAAAGCAGTGGAAGAGGGCCCAAGTGTTTGGGCACTAGTCATCCATGTGGGAAACTCGAATGGAGTTCCTGGCTCCTGGGTTCAGTCTGGCTCAGTCCTGGCTGTTGCAGGAATCTGGGGAGTGAACCAGTGAATGGAAGGTCTGTCTCTCTCCCTCTCTGTCATTCTGTCTTTCAAATAAACAAATCTTTTTTAAAAATTAGCATTTAGAAGTACAAATAGAAGCAACTGATAAGTTAGATATGGAAACTGAGGGAAAGATAGAAATGAAATAAAACACAAGGGTACTTTGAAAAATTCACGGGAACATGGATATACAATAACCATGAACTTTTTTTATCTCTCTCTTTTTTTTTTTTAATTTGACAGGTAGAGTCATAGTGAGAGAGAGAGAGACAGAGACAAAGGTCTTCCTTCCATTGGTTCACTCCCCAAATGGCTACAGCGGCTGGCGCTGCACCGATCCGAAGCTAGGAGCCAGGTGCTTCCTCCTGGTCTCCCATGTGGGTGCAGGGCCCAAACACTTGGGCCATCCTCCACTGCCCTCCAGGGCCACGGCAGAGAGTTGGACTGGAAGAGAGGCAGCCGGGACTAGAACCTGAGCCCATATGGGATGCTGGCGCCGCAGGTGGAGGATTAACCAAGTGAGGCACGGCGCAACCCCCCAACTTTTTTTTAAAAGGGGTACAGGGGCCGGCGCCGCGGCTCACTAGGCTAATCCTCTACCTTGCGGCGCCAGCACACTGGGTTCTAGTCCCAGTCGGGGCGCCGGATTCTGTCCTGGTTGCCCCTCTTCCAGGCCAGCTCTCTGCTGCGGCCAGGGAGTGCAGAGGAGGATGGCCCAAGTACTTGGGCCCTGTACCCCATGGGAGATCAGGATGAGTACCTGGCTCCTGCCATCGGATCAGCGCGGTGCGCCGGCCACAGCACGCCGGCCACAGCGCGCCAGCTGCAGCGCGCCAGCCGCGGCGGCCATTGGAGGGTGAACCAACGGCAAAGGAAGACCTTTCTCTCTGTCTCTCTCACTCACTGTCCACTCTGCCTGTCAATAAATAAATAAATAAATAAAAATAAAAAAGGGGCAAAGGTATGTCTTTTTCTTCCCAAAGATTTATTTATTTATTTTTAAAGACTTATGTATGTATTCTGAGAGGTCAAGTTACAGACAGAGAGAGGCAGAAACACAGAGAGAGGTCTTCCATGCCCTGGTTCACTCCCCAAATGACCACAACAGTCATAGCTGAGCCAATCCAAAGCCAGGAGCCAGGAGCTTTTTCCACGTCTCCCATGTGGGTGTAGGGGCCCTAGGACTTGGGCCATCTTCCACTGCTTTCCCAAGAGCATTAGCAGGGAGCTGGATTGTAAGAGGAGTAGCCGGGACCCAAATTGGCACCCATTTGGGATGCTGGCACTGCAAGCAGCGGCTTAGCCCACTATGTCACAGCACCAGCCCCATTTTATTTATTTTATTTGAAAGTTACATGGGGCCAGCACTGGGGCGTACCTAAGGTGAAGCCACCTCCTGCAGTGCCGGCATCCCATATGGGCCCCAATTCAAGCCCCAGCTGCTCCATGTCCGATGCAGCTCACTGCTGTGGCCTGGGAAAGCAGTGGAAGATTGCCCAAGTGCTTGGGTTTCTGCACCCATGTGGGAGACCAGGAAGAAACCCCTGGCTCCTGGCTTCAGATTGGCACAGTTCCAACCACTGTGGCTAATTGGGGAGTAAACCAATAGATGGAAGACCTCTCTGTCTCTCTCTCTGTAACTATTACTTTTAAATAAATAGAGAGAGAGAGTGAGAGAGAGAGAGAGAGAGAAAGTAAGTTACAGAGAGAAAAAGAGACACAGAGAAAGAGACAGATCTTCCATACTCTGATTCACTCCCTAAATGGCCCCAACAGACAGGGCTGGGCCAGGCTGAAGCCAGGAGCCAGGAGCTTCATCTGGGTCTCCTGTGTGGGTGAAGGGTCCCAAGGACTTGGGTCATCCTCGTTGCCTTCCTAGGCCCATCAGCAGGTAGCTGGATTGAAAGTGGAGCAGCTGGGATGCTAACTGGAACCCATATGGGATGCAGGCATCACAGATGGTGGCTTTCACTCGCTATGCCACAATGCCAGCCCTAATCATGAACTTTTTTTTTATTAAAGATTTATTTACTTATTTGAAGGTCAGAATTAGAAACAATATCTTCCATTCACTGGTTCATTCTCCAAATAGCTGCAATGGCCAGGGCTGGGCCTGGAGCCTTGAGCCTCATCCGGGTCTCCCACATAGGTGCAGGGGACCAAACACTTGGGCCATCCTCTGCTGCCTTCCCAGTGCATTAGCAGAGAGCTAGATCAGAAGTAGAGCAGCCGGGACTCAAACCGGCACCCATAAGGATCCTGGCATTGTGGACTATGTATTTACCTGCTATACCACAGCAATGGCCTCATGAACTTTTTTAAAATTTGATTTATTTATTTGAAAGGCAGATGGGGGTTGATGCTGTGGCACAGTGGGTTAAGCCACTGCCTGCAACATTGGCATCCCACCTGAGTACTGGTTTGAGTCCCAGCTGATCTACTTCTTTTTCATTTTTTTTATTTTTTTGAAGATTTTATTTATTTATTTGAGAGGTAGAGTTATAGATAATGAGAGAGAGAGAGAGAGAGAGAGAAAGGAAAAGGTCTTCCTTTTGTTTGTTCACTCCCCAAATGGCTGCAACGGACGGAGCTATGCTGATCTGAAGCTAGGAGCCAGGTGCTTCTTCCCACTCTCCCACATGGGTGCAGGGGCCCAAGGACTTGGGTCCATCTTCTACTGCTTTCCCAGGCCATTGTAGAAAGCTGAATTGGAAGAAGAGCAGCCGGGACTAGAACCAGCGCCCATATGGGATGCCGGAGCCACAGGCAGAGGATTAACTTACCGTGCCACGGCTCCGGCCCCAGCTCTACTTCTGATCCAGCTCCCTACTGATGCACCTGGGAAGACAGTGGAGGATGTTTCAAATGCTTGGGCTCCTGCACCTATATGGGAGACCCAGATGAGGCTCCCGGCTCTTGACTTTGGCCTGGTCCATCCCTGGTCATTGCAGGGCATTTGGGGAATGAACCAGTGGATGAAAGATCTCTCTCTCTCTCTCTCTGTCCCTCCCTCTCTTCCTGTAACTCTGCTTTTCAAATAAAATAAATAAATCTTGGGGGAA